GCGATTTGTCTAAATAGAAAAGCCTTGAGATTCCGCGGAGTCCAATCCTGGATTTAAGTTCTCGAGTACAATGGTAGGTGTTTTTCAGAACTTCCGATTCCATAAAAAATAAATTGTAATGGATTATTTTCTGGGGAGTTCTTTTATCGGAGTTGCCGGAGGTCGAAATAAATCTCCTGGCGTTTAAAATCTTCCGGTTAAAAAGGAAGTTCGAAATGGGTTTGTTAATTTTTTTAAGGGGAGATGAATTATTCAAGTTTTATCGAAATGTTATGTTTTTTCATCGGTGAAGTTTTATTGAAAACATCGTTTTATGCAGATGCTTGAAGTTTTTTTCTTTTCTATTAACTTGGAAATTGAAATTACCTATTCATAATATACCGGAAGACAATAAATTGTGGATATATTTTTCATACCTCATAAAGCATACTAAATATAAATTTTCTTTATTTGTTTGTTAACATATCAGTTCTCTATTCCGTGGGTTAAATTTATAGAACTGAATCTACCCTTGCTACATCAAAAATTCTATTTTAAACAACGCCAACGCCACTATATCGATAGAGACCAACTCTCGAACGATCCGCCTTCTTTCTATCATTCTCGCATATTTTCCCGCTTCTAACAACATCGTTACTATTTGATGTCCACCCACAGCACTCCTCTTGATTCGAATTTCGTTCTTGAACTACCATCCTACAAGCCTGACACCGGGAATAATTTTGTTGAAAATCGCCTAAAGACCCACTCGTGAAATACCTACGTTCGCTTAAGTACCTTGGAATTTATTGACGGTGAATATTTGTTCACTTCACTGAATATTCCCCGCTTTTATTGGAAAATCCTGTCATCTTGTCTGCTACCAGAATTTTAAAACCTTTTATACATACTTCTTGTAATGGAACAGAAGTATTCTACAGCTATTCTTGTAGGTGTGTACCTTACATTCATTGGCTTAAACTTTCTAAGAATTCTTAAAAAACTATTTTCTTATACTTTCTCGTTGAGTAGTTTCAAGTGGAGTTTCCAAGTGGTAAATAGAAGAGTGAGTTTTAGTGGTTTATTTGCACTTCAATATTCATACATGCACATTTATCCTACACGGTATATAAAACATACAGCGTTATGAAAAGAAATTTGAAAGTTTAATTACACGAGTTGCAAATCCCCTGGTCGTTAAAACCGAATATGTGACATTTTCCACTGCACACGCCTGTGTAGATGTACAATGCGGATTCATGAAATTATTCACACGTTTTTAATAATATAAGTACCTAGATATTACACTTTTCGACATCGTTCGAGGTATTTTCGTGTTCTACTCTAATACATATTTTCCAACTTCACGAAAAACCCCAAAAACAAACAACTACTGTTAAGTTTTCAGTTGCAATTAAGCGAGACTGGTAATTCCGGGTATTAGGTGATAAATTCTAGCTCGGAAACGTTCCTGCGCTCCGGGATTCTGAGATAGGTTTAAACTTACGTGGGAAATGCATCTGAGAATCCAGGTAAGCATGTAACATTTTCGGGTGGAAATACTGCTTTTGTCGTGTACTTTATATGCTTGTTCTGTAGAATTGTGCAGTGTCTCTTCGAGCACAAATAGAGAACGAATTCCAACCAAAGATACACATCTTTCACTAAATATTCAAAAATTAGATATCTCTTCATTATTATCATTAATTCTATACATCTTAATTCATTATTGGGTATAATAAATAACGTTACAAAAATAGCAATTTATTAGTAATTATCTGCTAAATTCCTTAAACTCTAAGAAAATATAATTTTGTCGGCTTCAATACCGCTATTATTTTTACAATTTGGAACAGTTCCAGAACAACAATTCATTTTTTAAAAGACGGTATATTAGTCACTCGTCGCATTTCAGACGTGAGATACCGATTCAGTTTGAATTCTCTCGAAGGAATTACGCTAGATTAAGCGTTTGATTATCTTTTCTTTCTCTTTAATTCGCCACTCGCGAAATATTGGAAACGAAGAGGAATGGTTCTTTTGACCTTTCGTACGGATTTTCTGCAGGGTTTTATTATAAACTCCGCTTAACTCGATTTATTACACGGGTATAAAACTAATCGATGAAGTTGGTTCGAAAATATCGAATTATTGTTGATTGGGCGCCTATAAGGAATGTTTCTACTGCGTTTTTACGGAGCGCTTACGTTTGCGAATTCAATTTAAATTTCCCGTTTAATTAAAGTTTGATCATCTCATTAATATTGCAAAACGGGTAAATGGAGTGAACAGGAAACCTGCGTTCGATGAAATTCATAACTGGAATTTATAATTTACAAAGTTCAGTGTGCGTAAATTCGCTGCGAAAGTTTCATCTTTGATCGTTAGTCAAGATTTCGGTATCTAGGGGTATTCCTCGGGAACAAAAAGTAATTCAAAGTACCGCCGTTTGCCTTCGGGATGGCGGCATTCGCATTACAATTATACTAATTTCCCGGCTAATCCGGATCACTGCACGGTGTAGTTGATTATTCATTCCCCATTCGAATTCTAATTTTATTCATAACGGTCCCGAAAAAGATTTATAACAGCTGAATATTAACCTCATACCGTGCAACAAGTTTAAAAATATTGAGGCAAACACTGGCTGGATAACCCGCAGATGCGTGACGGCGAATTTCGACCACGGATTTTGCCAAATTATTGTTTTTCTTGTCGCACACATTCTTCAGCTTTAAAAGAAATTTCAGTCACTGGTTTATAAAATATAGCGTGAGTTAATTCGGGATAAAGGGTCTCTTATATGAACGTTTTTAAACCCTCTATAACCTTCCCAATTTTATAATTTATCAAAGTCTTTGATGTTTTATTCCTCGTTAATCAATACTCTTTTGTAGTAAAATTATAGTAAAAATTAATGCATATATGAGATGTTAATTGTAATAATGCAGAATTTGTTAGTGAATATGAATTGGTAATTGCCAATTTCCTCAAGCTAAGTAGATACTGTTCTCTCACCTTTGGAGTATCCAGAGGAGTTTAATTATAAATGTCTAGCGCAAGTAGGAGACATATTTTATAAACTCGCGGCATAACTAGAGGAGTTCCAAAATAGATGCCGACCCGCGAAATAGGTGTTTGACACAGTCGCCCGGGTTTTTGCATTCGAGTAAGTCGTTTGAACATTCGATTCCACGTCGAGGCAGATTTACCGACCTGTACGTATCAAATCGCAAAATGCATTTAGAGAAAAGCTTCTTTTCCACGCTGAGTTTGATCGAATAAGGCGCTTGTTAACATCCGCTACTGCTATATGTAAAGCTATATAGACTGCTATATAGAGTTTTCCCATTTAAATTTGAAGCTTCAGTAATTACATGTTTACCAGCTAATAAAAATAATTAACAAGAAATTTGAAGTTCTTATAATATCAATTCATTAGAAATTTTGTAATAATGTTGCATTTAATCGGATATAAAAACAACTCTTTTTACCAGTTTATCAATAATTACAAGAATAATATTTCAAGTAACTATAGTTGGCTAAACCCAACAATATTGTCTTTGTGAGAATACTTTGATCAGTTAATCTAGCATCTGAATATCATAAACGATTAGTAACATTATTGTAGGGACTTTTAAGTGAGTTTACCTTGTTACTTTGCGTGTTTACATAGCCCATATATTTGTTCAATTTATTCGAAATCGATATTACATTTGATTGAGGGCTGATGAAATGGCGACATTAAAATCAGGAATTATTAATGTGCATTTTAGTCAATTAGAGAATAGTTTAATTAAAACGCCCAAATGCCTACATAATACAACGATCGATTGTTTCATATTATATTAAGAGCATGTGGTTAATTTCAAGTTAAATGTATTTAGACTTGCACAATGTTGTTTACAGTTGACAGGTCAAATACATTAAGTTTTAAATTTAGAAAAGTTGAAAAAAACTGTTATATTTCGAGTGTATTTTTTTCAACCTTTGATAAATTGGTCTGAATTGTTTGTCAGTATTTATGAGTTTAGCTATACCGAAATTCACATTCAAATGACAGTGCAGTGAGATTGGAACTTGCCTAATGCATTGGCATTAAAAGTATAAAGTTTCAAGTATTTTAGGTTTCAATATTTCAAGGTTTTTTTACTTAATTGCACCCGCAACGTGGAGATGCTTTTATTTAGTATTTAGTTTATTTGTAGATAAATAAAGTTTATTTCTTTTTAAATTGTACATATTACGTATTTATTAAATGCCTACTTAGGAATGAAATAATGAATGACTAATAAGGGTAATTAATATTAAATCAAATGAAAAATTAGCCTACATTTTATAAATAACGGAGGTAAGGTAAATATCAATACGGTACTTGAACGAATTCGGTTATGAAGGTAACATGAGTTTTTCCAGGAAGGTTTTTACATACTGAAAACAAACAAAAAAACCGCGCAAGGTGAAATTAAAATTCCAAAATTACCGTATTTTTATGGTTTCGAAATACAAACCGTAGGAAGATATCGATTGAACGTATTTTTCTAATTCGAAATAACACCGCGTTTTGGATTTCTTCCAATTATTATATATTCATCCGAAATAAAATCGAAAATAAACCGGACCTAATGGAATTGTATGATTTAATTACTATTAGATTCCAGTATATTTTATTACGTACCATAAAATTTCGCGCTTGTTCGCCTCTCAAATCTCTAGAGACGTGTCCGAACGCATTAAAAGCTGCAACAAAATTTTTCGCCGCGGCGTTTTCGAAAAAATCAGATTTTACAAGTGCCAGCATCTGCTCTAATTTATTCCTGGCACTCGGTTTGTTCGAGCCTTCAATGGCTCCTTGATTGACCGCATGGAAATAAATCCAACAAACTTAATTAAGAGCACCGAGGTCTCACTGTTTCATACAAAATTTTTGAATTACTATAAATTTAGAATGATAGAAAACGAGCTTTTGCTCAACAACAACTATAATACATGGGTATTATTTTGTTCTTCCAGCCTCAATCATGAGCGGCCCATTCAAAAGGAGATCCTCCATCAAGGCTCTCCCCGCGATGAGCCTGCCTACTGACTCGATGAGAAGAGCGTCCATTCGAAGGGCCTCGGTGGCCGTTGGACAACAGCCAGCCGGCAAAACCGCCGGCCAGCAGGAAGTCCCTTGGGACATCCTCGACAGGTGTTTGTTGCCCGTTCTGTTTTGCCACGCCGCCGCTGTTATAGTCAGTAACGCACTGAATGTGTTACACATATGGGACGTAACGACCTTTACCTTATTCATTTGGTTCACCATCGTCACGATAGGAGCCGTGCTGTTCTATCACAACTTAAAGGTACGTAAGGTGTTTAGAAAATCCATTTCGTTGTTACTTACGGTTTATGTGGCTCGCATAAAAGCACCTACTGAAATTATTCCCACTTATACGTACAAACTCCCAAAGAAACAACTAGAAAACTCCACATAAAGCGCACGAACGTGACGGAAATAAATTTAGAGATTCTCCAATTGTACATCTAATAATTGGAACCGAATCACGTACCGAAGTTTTGGGACAAACGGGCGAAACATTATTTATTCTTTCACGTGCGAAAGGAAAAAAATGCCGGGAGCTTTTTTATTTATTTCCAGGATAAAGCGCTAATGCGTGATTGCATTTGTCACTTGTCAAAAGATGCGGTATAAGAATTATCTACTGTTATTAGTTTCAATTTACTCGCGACAACTATATTTCATTGTATTTAGACCAACTTATTTTTTGGAATATTGTTCGAATTGTTGCTTATACATTTAAAAAAAAGGTTATTAGGAGAGTCAATTATTTACCTATAAAAGGACCTTTTTAGTCAAAGTCACCATCACAATTTTTGATATTTATTTCCCACATTCCCAGAATAAAATTAGAGTAAATAAACTTATCCAAACCAAAACAACTCCAAATATAAAACCACCCTCATGAATCCATTCTCTTGTACTCGCATAAATTCCTCCAGAAATTATTTGTGTATAAAATTTCGACAATAAATAAACCCTTTGATCGAAAACAAATAAATTCCAACTTCCCCGATTCCCATCCGAAAAGCAGGAACCTTCCGATCCTTCCGGCCACACAGAATCGAACGGGCTCTATCGATTCCTCGACTAACTCCGCCGTTTTCCTGCAGGTGACGGCGGCGGGCAAGGCGGTCCTGATCACGGGCTGCGACTCCAGGATCGGTATCGCCCTCGCCCGGCAGCTGGACGAACAGGGCTTCACGGTGTTCGCAGGATTCCAGAGCGCTGATAGCTCGACCGCCGAGGAGCTGAAGGAGGTCTGCTCGGGCAGGCTGCACGTCCTGCAGCTGGACGTAGCTTCGGAGAATCAGATATTGGCGGCGTCCCTCTACGCTGTCGAGCATCTGCCGGACGGCGCTCCGGGACTTTGGGCTGTTGTTCACGCTCAATCATGGGTGGCGCTCGGGGAAATCGAGTGGATTCCTCCACAGGTAGGCCGTTTTTTTATTTTGTTGAAAAGTTACTAATATGCGACACAAAACTACACACTATTAACTAGTAAGAAAAGTCCGTGATGTAAACCTTCAAATAATTTAAGGATAGTTATAGATAGGATTCAAACCATTTTTGGAAACCCTCAAAAAGAGTAGTATTACTAAATGAGTGATCACCCTATATATGTATGATCCGTGCAGGACTTTAGATAAACCTAACACCCTTTATAGAGGATACATATTGTGAAGACTAGAATAATCACTGGATAAATAATGGAGCCTCTTTGTATTGATGATCCACCTTGTATTGATCACACACTCTGTATGATGAATACCTACATTATTTGTCAAACGAGTCTTGTGCATTTCAAGCACTAAACAGCCATTCAACAAGATTTAATTGACAGCTCGAATGACCCAACTCATGTTCCGTGTACTGGCCATTTCCGCATTATCGAGGTAATGGCAGAGAAGCGGTGTTTTAGAGTGGATTATTCCATTAAAGCTTTGTGGTGACATGTAACTATGACACGTTGAATGGAGCAGACATATTTCTGTGCAATAATTAATGTTCTAACTTTCTCACTCTGTATATGAAAAAGTAAAAACCAATTAAATGTACGAATGCATACCGTTCTGTCGGGCGAGCTCGCTTTCCCGGCTTTTTAATTAATTTTGATTAGGACGAGTGGCGCAACCTCCGGTTAATATTTAAGGCTAAATCTGTTATCATAACATGCCTATCCCTAACTGTGAATAAGTAAACTGGGTCGTATCTCAAAGGTGCGCCTCGGGACTTAATATACCGAACAAAAAAGGCACGTTCCTTATTACACCGGAGAGCCTTCTGCCGTATTTACTTGTGAAATATTGTTTGTTATGCACTACAAAAATTTTAAGACTTTACTAATTGAAGGCAAACAAAACGTGCCTGAAAATCGAAAAATTTCGCCCGAACTTTATACTAATTGATTTCTTCAAGTTGCTACTAAAAGCGAGAGTTTTATTCCTTATAATGCAAATTCGAAAACTTGTGTTTGGGAGTTATAATTAATGGGTCAGTTCATTCGAATAAAAGTGTTCAATGCAGAGATATTTGAATTTTCATTATTTATTTTAAATTATGGCATTTATAAATGCTTTAATTGTCCAAATATGGTTTTCGCTAAATATAGAATTTAATATAGGTATGCGAATTATTTATTTCAAATAATATTCCAGTTATTCATTTCGACCTTGTTTGCCTTTAATGCTTTTTTTCAATAACGTCTGCGTTTTCATGCACTTCTAATTATAAACTAGCATGTATCTCAAATTAAGGATTCAAAATAAACTTGTACAAATTTACCTACTCAGAAAGTCTAATTTAATTTGCATGATTGCATTTAAAAGCCCAAGTAAGTTATTTAATTCAATCGTAAACTACCTACAGAGTATTCGAGAGTAGGAATTTTCTTTTCAATTTGAAATGGCTGCGTTTTTTCATAAAAAGGTAATTCGACTCCCGTTTTTTTCCTGCGATCCTTCAGTAAAAAAATTCGGTCCTTTATTAACGCTGCTATATGGACTTTTGTTTCTGCGCTGTCACTATTCTTTTTCTTTCCGAATCTCGCGGGATTATTTTCTTATTCCAGTCTTTGTGTGTCGAGTAAAGGATATTTCGTTTGACAAGGATACTTCTCAATCGTCATGCTTTTTTATTTATAAACGAAATACCTCTAACTCTACCTTTCATTTGGGATATCTCTTATATTATATTCATCTCAGAAATATTACATTTTTATATAAAAATAAAATGAATACGAAAACGGAAACGTTTACCCAACTGCATACAAACAAGATATTGTCTAGACAGAATCGAGAGCATGGCTCGTAAATGTCCGATAAAGTAGCGACAAAAAGCACAATAACGCCGTAAAAACTCTTTTATTTTACAAACGTCTTCATTTCGCACAAGTTTCCTCTTCGTTAGCTTTCATTTTCCTTACAAGCGCAGCAATTTAGCCCGGCCTCCAATTTTCACGACAACTTTACCTAATTTTCCATTGCGCTCGCAAAGCGCAATTAATCTATTGTAGACAGTTTACTACGTAATCAAAAGGTTTTCATTACACACCAAATTACTGTTCAGAAGAATTGCTGCAAGGATGCCATCGAGCTCAATAATCTGGTTTCTATAATAATAACGAAATCGCTAGTGGAATTCTATTCGATTGAGTTTAATAATTATGTCGTTTGATTTCGTATCCAATCAAGTTTGTATTGGCATCTAATCAGGCGCATTATTCTATTCATTGAATTATCTCTGCAGGATTACAGTCTGAAACTTATACTCGTATTCGTAAATTTTGATTATTTTTTTAGATTACATTTAGTAAGCGAAATTTGCCATTAAATCTATTTTTAAAAATATTTTTATGTAGATATATTAGTTTACCTACTTTAAATAAACTTTCTATGCCCGAATATTCATAAATCACTGTATTAACTAGTTACGAAAAAAAAGAAAACTATATTCTCTCATTTTTAGAAATTACTCTTTTTTCTCTATTGATATAGGCCATAAAAAACCCTTTTATAGGTGAGTACACCTCATTAATTGCGGTAACTGCACATTGGACTTACATAAACACCAAGTGCATCAATAAATTACCACACATGCAAAATGCATGCATCCTAATTGCAAGCGTCGTAAATTTCAGTTCAGAAAATCATTTTACCGCAGTTAACTTCACAAATAACGCGTCGATCGAATAAATTTTAAATAGGAATCGACATTTGATGTATTTTTAACATCAGAGCCGACGCTCAATAGCTATTAGTAATGAATAATTTTATGTGTTTTAATTTTCCACAATTTTTGAACTACCACCAAATTTTCGTTATAAAAAAATTGGAACAACAGTGACCGGAGAATTAATAGTGTTCTTCTAATTGGCCATTATCCCAAAATCTATTTCAAGAGGCGCATCTTGGTAACCCAGGTATATCCATTGTCGATTGCCGAAGCGGAGACATCGAATTTCGAAATTTAATTTTACAATTTCGCAGGCTCGAAACGGCTGTTCGCTAATAAATCTCGAGGCGAAAATCGATGTGGACCGGCGGAAAAACTAATTTTATAACCGTAACTTTGGTTTTTCGAAGACTAATCTGGCCGGCCTACGAGAATCACCATTGACCGTGGCCACGTTCGCTTTTTTTTCGCGAATATCTGGAACGGGCGCCCTATTATTCCATTATTTTTTGCGGCTTCTTATAAATAGACTGTTTCTTCGCATCGGAGTGTAATATTTTTTAATTATGATTTAGATCGCTGAGGTTTTTATAGGTTTCCACTTAACGGTACTTAAATATGACACCGAGTTATTACGCGTTTATTACTTATTTTATATTTTATTTTATTGTTGGTTTTACTCAACTGGAAGTGCGTTTTCATAAATGTTGTAATCGGTTGTAAATTTTAATACGGTAGTAAATGTTTGTGCAATATTAATACAATTTTCACGTAGGGGTTGAGTACAACATTGTTTATTTAAGAGAAATTATTCAAATTTGACTATGCAATCGAAATATACAATGTGTATCTTTATTATATCATTTTTGCAAAATTTTAAATCTTAATGAAGAATTTTTACATTTTTTAATCATTACAAAATTGCCTTCATTCACCCTCTCTTTAATATTTATTTCCCCGAAATAAATTATGTTTAGCTAGCTCAATAAAATACGAATTTTTAAAGGTGGACACCCTATAAATAATCAATTATAGGTGCATACACCAAAATTCGCGTAAAGTTTTTATTTCAAACGACTGAATAATACAGAAGGTTTCGAATAAACAATTTATGAAATTTTTTTGAACAAACAATCGAAAATAATATGAAAGTAACCGTTACCTTTGATCTCAACTGAGGTGAGCTAACTCGAACTTTTCGGGCGTATTTAACGGAGCAAAAAATCCATTTAAATTATTTACAAAATCTTAACCTTGACACTTATAGGAACGGCTCAATTTATTCCCAACACATTTATTTCCACGCCGGTGATTCGAAAATATTGTCAATTCTAAAAATAAGCGAAAAACTAAAACGAGCTCGGAACGACCACATGAATTAATTTTTAGACGAGCAATAATTAGAAATGTACCATTAGCGCAGCAATTAGGCAAAGCCGAATTCCCTTTGAAGAGTTAATACGAGAACTGTACACCTTCGCAGGTAATTAAAAAGGCAACGGACATCAATTTCATCGGCCCCACGAGGGTAACGCAAATCATGCTGCCCTTGGTACGCAGGGCGAAGGGTCGCATCGTCATAGTCACCTCTGGCCTCTGCCGCGTAGCCTCACCAGTCAGAGGAATCCACTGTGGACTTTTAGCTGCCATGGAATCCCAGGCCGAATGTTTGAGGAAAGAGCTTAGAAGTAGAGGTAGATTAGAGTCCATGCAGTTGAATAATCAAATATATCGATGGTTATTGTTATTTTGTAGGTGTGGATGTGGTTGTGGTAGCTCCAGGTGAATTGACGGCGGGTTCTTCTTGGTTATCAGATCAACATGTCATCGATCAGGCAAAAGATATGTGGAAGCAATTGGGACAAGAGCAGAAGGGCGAGTACAATGAGAATTACTTCGAAAACGCTTTGAGGAGTTTGGAAAAATACACCAAGAATCAGGTAAGTGCATTATAACACAATTCCAATTCGGATTTTCCAGAACATCCTCTGCATAGTCCATCTAACCATTTAGCAAAAGTTAAGCGTGTATATTATTCTGATTATACACCCTCTAGTGACTATGAAAAAACAAATATTCCAACTGTAATATTTTACTCACTAATTCCCATTAACTTCCGAACAAATCATGAATTATTTCAGCCCAAATAAGTTTGACTTTGAAAGTTTTAATGAACGAAAACATTCCTGCAGCCTGAAGTGTGTGCTCAGTACAAAGTTTCATTTCAATACATTGAACATAAAAAAACAATTAGAAAAAATCTACAAAGGTGCTTTGATAAATAAATATACGCTTCATTGGACAATTTCATTATAGAACAATCCAATAAAACGCCTACCGAAGTATACGATAAAATCGTCAAATCCACACTTTGCAGAGAATTTTAAAATTCCCGACGGTGCATCGCCAGGGAATATAATGGCTCTTGACATTTTGCTTGGGATTCAATCAGCAAGACTGCCGTTTTGAAGAGGATGCCGCCGATAAGAAAAACTACAGAATAAAGGAAAATGTTTAATAATTACTAGGTCGACTTTAATGCAGTACGTAGGGTTGATGCTGCTGTATACAAAAATCCAATTACCTCTAATTTATTACGTAATTAGAAGGGAAACTAGTTTCGGTTTATACAACCACTTTCTGGTCTAGGTCGGGTATCTAGTAAATTATCTCTTGAAGCTATAGTTAATGGAATAAAAAAGTTTTTTTAATATACAGGTAGATTGTAAATAACGTAGCTTCTATATTAACTTAAATTCGCTTTCCCGCAGATTCCACTGTAAACATATCGCTAGAATCGTTCCGAAAAGCGAAAAGACTGTTCAAAGAATTGCTTTGCGAATTAAATTGGAACTCACTATCGGGAATTGGCAGTAAAATGTGATACTTTAAGGAATCGTGGGGGATATTACTTACTTACCGCGTTTTAAACTGACTGTTTTATATAGCGAAGAAAAATCCATGTTAGTTCAATCAGGGTAAATGTACTTCGTATCTGTTTCTGTTGATAGGGCTGAGTCGATAAGGAAATTCCTGTTTTCATCATTACTATACCGATAGAATCTTGAATTATTGACAAAATTTTAACAATTCTTGATACTATGTCTGTTCCCGAAATTTTCTGGTTTTCTCACCGAAAACTGATGGTGTACGACACATATTTCTCATTCCATTGTGCCACATACCTACCGCATACCCCGATGTCTCATTAGAGGATTACTGCATATGCTCAAGTGCGCCAAAACCATCCGTTACAATTAAAATCGCTTACGGGAACTTGCACGGGCATTCATTCGTTAATTGAGTGCATATTGAGGTATGCACTTTGCTCCCCAAGTAAATGAAGTATAGTGAATTCCATTGTACTAATTATGTGTGAATAATAGGATTTTGTAATATGAATTTGTTATAATTTAATTAAAAAAATTGCTTTGTTTCCACCCTATTAATGGGGAAAAGTTACACATTAATAAATTAAATAAAGATATCCCCCATTCATGCCTATTTCTTGATAAAAAGAAATGTTGTAAAACCCTTTTACAGATGTTATAAAATAATTTAACGACGGAGTTTCGCAATAAAATGGCCATAAAGTAAACAACTCTAATATTCTCGTAAATTTTTGTACACTTTCGAATAGCAATCGTAAAATATTTCTAATAATATTTGCAATGGACTCATAAATACTTACTTGACTAGGTACAAAGTTATATGCAATATATTGAGGGGTGGCTCCGAGAAAAAGACAATTCGGTGGCGCGAGAATTGTTGGCAATACATCTTATATGGCGCCGCAAATATTTTTATATGAGATTAGAAAATGGATGCGCTTACACTCAATAACGATCTCATATGGCCGGAAACTTTCATCTCCGACAAGAATATTGAATTTTGCATGTATATGGATTCCTGCAGCTAACGTCTATAGGCGTAGATTAGAAGTGATGGAAGCGGGACGCTTTGGGGAATAACAGCGGAATCAAATACACCGAATGCACATTTTCCCATTCCATTTCGAATTCCCCTGAGATATGCAGAAGATTCCGATAAAATTAAAAATCGTTAAATTAAAAAAAATCCAGGAACATTTTTGTAAAATATAGTAGATAGTATGTATAGGTAGGTAATAGGTAAATGTGTAATTTTTATTTCATATAGAACGGTTTGGGGGTTTTAAAAATTTCATTCCGTCTGCAACTAAACAAAAGCCCATATATTTTCCGATAAGCGACATTAATGTCATTTCGCAGTTGCAGCTAGGGCTCGGAAAAAACGCGTTTATTTCGTTCATTTTTCCGACGGTCACATTATTTCTGCGATTGTGATTAATAATACGCCTCACGTCCCACCACTACTTTTTTCCCGAAGCGGCGAAATATTTTATGTTTCGTTCGATATCTATTTTTCAGTCGACGCTAATTGGCATTCCGAAGGAATTTACGGTTTTACCGAAAAATTGATACAAAACTGGGCGGATATTTTAATAGATAAAAGTTGCACAAACGCGCTGTTTTACGGATTTTTTATTTAGTTGGTGCGATTTATTTCCACGATTCCGTTTTATTCAGCGTCTGGCAGTATTTTCCGCTGGAGGAATAGAATTCTTAATCAGACAAAAAATGATAAATTATTCAACGTTTTCAAGCCCTTAACCTCCAAGTTCAAGTAGGATGTCAATTTACAAACGGCGCTTCTGTCGTATTCTGAACAACAAATTCAATTTCCAAAGCATTTCGGTACACGTGAAAAGTATTCTCCACCAAGTAGTAAATAATAAACGATGAGTTCCCAACTTATTAAGTATTTGCCTGCGTTTTTTTAGGTATAATAGTTTTAAATTTTGAATAAGTATGTAAGGAATTGGCAACTAATGTACGCTACATAAAACAAATCACAAGAGAATGTTAAATATTTCAAGTATCTCTCTATGTGTGCATGTGAGTACTTAAAGACTTCCATGTAGTACAAAAAGCGCGTTTGAATCAAAAGCTCAACTCCTTGTCAAGTAATTACCGTCTTTATTTTTCAGGAAGTCGACCTGTTCCCTGTGCTGCGGGCCCTCAACGACGCGGTGATTCGAACGTTCCCTTTGAAAAAATACACGCCGGTGTCGCGGAAAGAGAAAATCCAGGTCTTCATCGCCGAATATTTGCCGCGCTCTGTTTACGACGTCATTTACTCTTAGATCGACTCTTCCTGCTTATCCTAATAGATTTAGCGACTATTGGAAAAACGCGTTACGAGAAGGAATTATTAGGTCATATGTATAAACAATGTTGAGATCTCTTATCAATTTGAAATATCTATATAATATAGGATGTTTTAAAATAATTGGGAGTAAATTTAGGGGGAGATATTTTTTATTTAAATATCCTGTATTTCAACGAAGAACTTTCTTATTGATCGCCCTGAGGTTTTACCCGGTTGTTTTTGAAACGACTTGTATGGAGTAAATGCATTTTTGATTTCATTTGCATTTGTCCTTTAAAAAGTTTTGTGTAGGATAGTTGTGAAAATGTTGTGTTCTTGGTATTATTTTGTCGATATGTTAAGAAGATACACATATGTTATTTGTATGTCGTTTTGTTTGAATTTTATTAATAGGTTTTCCAGTAGAGTTTAATTTCGGTTTTTTGTCAACTTTTATTCGATAACAAAACTCAACCAAAAGTGTGTTAATTATTACATATTTATTTAAAAAATAGTTGTTTTTATCTTGTTTTTATCTTGTAGATGAAGGGTAGTGTTTTTAATTTTAATGTATGCGAATATTGTTAATTTTATTGTAGTTAATAAAATTGAGTGGTCCAAAGACGACCACTTTTTCGACTTTTTGGGCCACCCTATATAGAACCCAATTTTAAGTAGCCCTTTTATTATGTCTTAAGTAAATAATGAAAATAAACCAATATTAAAAGTAAACTTTTTCACAATTTCTTTCTCAATAAAACATTGGTCGAATAAATTCGAAGATATTTCCAAGGCACCTCGAATTTATAACGGAAGCATCGCATTGATACATTTTTTATTTAGGCCTTTAAAAATTTCGGCCTAATTCGGGTCATCGAGCAAACGCTTTGAGAGAAATTCGTGATTTTCGTGATTCTTTGTTAGCCCGGAAAACTCTGCCGAAATAATACGTTGCGAAGGTTTAATAATTTATGGGCCTCCGCTCAATGAATATGAAACGTTATCCGTTGACTGGAAACATGATTATACACGTAAAACTTTGATCAACCGGGGGATGGAGCAGGTTCCAGCTATGTCAACCATTAAACAATCTTCAAGACCTGCCACCGGCTTGTGTAATGTTTACATTTAGCACTTTGCTTAGCTTAAATATTAATTAATCTCGAGACAAACGCCGACGTTTTCGCTTATTATGACGAATTAATTAAATGGTTACTGCGCAAATAGCGACTAATGAGGAAAACTTCCTTAATTATCGATAAATCAAACAAAAAGAAGGAGCTCACATTCCTCTCCCTTGTTTGCAAACGCACATCAATAAGGATTCTTCGCTCTGCGGGGATTCTTCTTGCTCGCTAATCAGCATTTTTGGTCCTTAGGTCTCGTAAAATATTCGCTTCTGTTAAAATTAAGGCTAGAGTTCAGTACTCGCAAAATATTTTTTTGGGAATAGGCAACTTGTACAGCAAGACCTGTCACTTTATTTCGGCAAATTTTCAGGTAGTAAGCTCACAGCGGGGTATGTCGTAAAACTGAGATAAGCGGTTGGGTTGTTTCTTTTATTAGAATTTGAATTTTAGAATATCCGAATTTCGATATTGTAGGAAAATATATTTTCGAATATTTAGAAATGCCGATGACGACAAATTATTTTAAATTAAATAATTCGTATATGGTTTACATTTTTAAAATCATAAAGACGAGCCGATTCCAACGATAGGTCATACTTAATACTTATTATCGATAATAAAGGAGTTACGGCCACTCGCGGGGCAGCCTAAAGTCAAAAAACATAATTTCAAATGGCTGTAGATCCTTTAATATCGACGATAAATAGCAAGTGTAACACATCATTGAAATCAGCTCATAATGAAGATACTAAAAATGTAAAAATATATATGATATTTCATTTTAAATAAAGAAGTTAGTGTCTAATATTTTGCTTCAGTTTATCGGAATTCTGGAAAACTGTTTGCAAATTTTCATGCACAGAATTGCATTAGTTGTTCAGTTGTTTTCGAATTAACTCGTACTGCGACAAGTTAAAAACGCTATTTCTTACGATATTAGTATTAGAGAAGTAAAAACATTGAAAAACGGTTTGGTAAAACTTTAAAAATTATTGTCTACCTACTACAATCATTAGTACATTATTAGGTTCGATTGTTCTGCATATAAATAATCGGACAGGTCCGAGTTGTCACCCAAATTTCAAAATTTTATATGTGCGAAAAAAGGTCATGTCCTAGTTGTCACCCGTCTATTGTTATCCGTTCGATGCAGATTATAAGGGTCTAATTGCTTAATAATCGTGGGTTTTTTGATTTTGGGTTAGAAATAGTTGGTGGATGTTTTGCATTGGAACTTTTAGAGATAAAACCAAATTGCAATAAGGTTACAAAATTTTGTGATTATTTAGTGGAAACGTACATTGACAGCAATTCAAAATTTCCTTCTTAAGTATGGGTCGAACATTCTTCGTCCTTAATACGAACCACAAATGCATGTGAATAATCATTTCATGCGACAAGTAATCAATCGTTTTATACGGGCCACCCTAATGTACATAAATTTTTCAATGTTCGTTTAAATTTTCAAATTTGGGTTTGCGTTTGTTCATTAAATAAATTCTACATACATGTAAGTAAAAGGAAATTTGAGTTTATTTAAATATTTTCAGAATCATATTGATCTTATAAATCTGATATTGGTACCTATCAAAGTGAAAACTTAAATAAAAATTATAGTCAAATTATTGTGTGTCTTTATAGTAGATATGTTGATTTTTCATTCAATTGTATCGTTTATACAATGTTTACCTAAACAGATTAGGCAAGTACATGAGTAGGCCCAATTGCTTTATAAGTAATCGCTGGTCTAATGGTGTCCTGGATTTCTGTTGCATTGTCGTTATGATGAATTAAACAAAATATTTTTTTAAATCTGTTCTAGAAATATCTGGAAATAAGTTTTTAGTTAAAATCAAATTTAAAGTGGACTATTAATTTATCATTATCTACTAAATTCCTAAAGGGGGGATGTAAATTGTATCTATCCCAAAATCTGAGAAAACCAATAAATAAATAAATAGAAAGAGAATAAAGAAATAAATAAAAAGAGAGTTTTTTACCACTTCCATTTTGTTTGACATTTTACCGCCACATATAGTATAGCGAAATGAACATGAACTTCTCTTATTGTTTACCGCTGATTTCAATAAAATATAAATAATGGGCAGTTCCAAAAAAAATAAGGAAATTTGATAATTTTGAAGTATGCATTTTTCGGTCCGTATTATTGCATAATACATACATACACAATTTTATTTAAATTACATATGTCTAAACAAAATGCGACTACATAAATCTATGACCTAACGAATACTTTTGTGGCTGCTTTCATTATTTTTTTCATAAAATAAAAAAAATTAATTTAACATAAAAATTAATTAATATAAGTGAAATTGTAATATAGTAATCTTTAACAAGTAGCTACACTGATGGAATGAATATTTGCAAGTTTAAAATTCAGTATCTAAATAGGTAATCGGATTATCGGATTTGGGTCGTAAAATTGAAGACTCGACCTACCCCTCATAAATCAAACGGGAGTTGCCTGATGGGTTGCCTAAAACTGATTTTTATTTCTTCGGAAACACAAAATTTATGAACAAATAAAGTCCAATTAACAACAAATGCGAAAGAAAATCAAAAAAAGGGCTTCGTACCGCCATCGGGGATGGTTAGCTCTTTCTTTTGGTACAAAAATTGCACAGAAAAAGTTAAAAATGTAGCCTGAAAATGGAATATAAAATTTCAACATTTTAATTAATTAAGCCAAAACAAAAGCATTTTTTAAAAAAAGGGCTTCGTACCGCCATCAGAATAAACGGGTAGAACATATATAGAGTGCGACCCCCCTTTCAAATTTCAAAATGCGCCCTGAAAACGTCACGGAAATTTCAGCATTTTTACACACGTTTTCAAAGTACTGAACTCTAGCCTTAAGTAATGCGAGTTTGAAAGCTCCTTTGAGTCCGGTATTTACGGACAGTGAATAATAAATAACGAACAATAACGCTGTCAGTGGCGGTGAAAACAATTTGTCAGGAGCATCAAAGAACTCGGAAAATAAGCTTTCTCGATTATTATTCCTTTGGTAAAATTATAAAGGGTTATTCATTATTTTCGACTGTAAGTTCGCGAATATCGCACAATAAATTGACCGCCACAAGGAAAAACGGGGTAATCACATATGCAGTAAAGCAGCAAATTAATTTTCCGGTCTATGGCGCGCGGTATTTCACAATCCGGCAATTACTTTTGGAATTAGTAATTGGTCGCGTGAAAACGGGATCGATTAATTATTACTAGAAAGTGCGGCGCGAAATTTCGATTCAGGTAAACCGAAATTAGTTTCCGTCTCACCGCCTTCACTAAACCCAAATTCGGCCGTTTCTTTACAAAGTTTAAATGGAACGTACGAAAATAAATCGACAACTAAATGGCCATTAAATCTCTTGGAGTTAAAACTCCAGCCCGGGACCCGAGTATAGGGGCTGTTATCGAAACCTGATATGTTGGTTATATCACATACTATGAGCAATATCAAAACTTTGCTAATGTACTACTTACTGAAACTCCTATCAGAACTTCATCTTGATGAATCTCCAATCAACAGACTATATAGGTCAACTTAAGAAAGGGAATCAAGGTCACTATTCTATTGTAAACCAAGGACTTGATGAATTATTTAAACTCTTAACGCAACTAACCTTTATTACATCGTGTACAGATAATACAAGTTACAATATTAAAACGTCCTATCGATACATACGCGCCCTTTTTACGGGTTTCCTAAACACATTCCAATCGATGGGGCCCTTCGAACGTCAAATTTAACTATCGAAAAACGAGAACAGAAATGTACCTACAGGGTAATGTATAATCATATTATCACAGCTAGGGTTAATACGTGTTCGGCCTCACAAACTGGAATGTACCTTTACATGTTTTGTTTTCGAGAAAAAATAGAACCATTACGCAAATGCACGAAGCAGTTCCAACGGAGAGCTCTGACTGTATGGATGTATCAAGAACACAATGTAAATGTTGACTTGATAAACTTATGGGAATGCGTTGAAATTGTTGTTAACATAGTCCAATTCTCCGCCAATTTCACTATAAAAACGTTGCAATCTGCATGCATACCACCGGAGCAATTTTAAGCTAAATCAGATATATTTATCCCTAAAGGCGATTATTCGCAATATACTGTAATCGTTGCAATAAAAAATACCCAACGAACTCTCATATCTGATTTCACCCTAACAAGATAAAATTTAAAACAACCTACTTCCTCTTAGTCTCCATAATGTGAGGAATTTTATGTGGAAGGTGTTGCGCTAACATTCAAATAACCTGCTGAAAATATACACAAAATATGTATCATGAAAACATCTAGTAAGTACACAACGTCAAGACAGAGTTTAAATTTCATACAGCTGTTCCAGCCAGTCCTTGAACTTGCCTCTTCCATGAATGACATTATCGTTTGAACCAGATTTTTCTCTCTACTTTATAGAGAAGTCCTGTCACCGGAACAAATGTACATAGTTACATTGGAAAGTAATTGTCAGAATATTTTAAATTTTAACATGTTCGTGTAAATTCCACTCTACGGTGTACGGTGTCGTGAGGTGACATTTGGTGGGTGCAAAATATTACGTAATATGCAAAAATGTTGTCTATTCAAAAAATATATCGTTGTAATTTGAACGCTGAAATCTTTAAAGAAAAATAGAAAAAGATATAAACATTAATACCTCCTTATCTTTGCTCCTGTTCGGTCTTTATTTGATACAATTTAAAATCCAATTAAATATCTCTTGTTAAAGCTCAGCGTTCAAATCGGAACAATCCGTGTAAAATGAAACGGGCCAACGCCCTGATTATACAATCAAAAAATTTCCCAATAAACAAAACTTTTCAAATGAAAATAGAAAAATAAACGCTTATACTTCTTAATTAAGAATCGATGTTGTTTAGCAATTCCGTCTTGCCAATATCTTCCTATACTAAAGGCAATTACAAGCTAATTTACTTGATGTACCCTTCTATTAAAAGGCAGCAGTTGGCGTTCTAAAATTTTTATTCTAGCTGAACAAAATTGCCGTTTCGTAAAAGGCCTTCAAATGGCCGGAAGTAAAAGGAAATTAGATACTTATGAAAAATGGAATTGCATCTGAAACAGCTACGGAATTAATAAAGCAAAATTGTTAAAACTACTAAAAAAACCATTTTTATATACGATTGTCGTCGACAACAATTATGACTCTTAATTTTACATTAATTTTTTGATAGAACTCGAACAAAAATGGTTCTATTTTTCTATAACTACGTTAATACATACGAGATTATAAAATAAGGTGATTATTATGAAATACTGTTCGTGAAATCGGTGATTTTGGTTAATATATGGATATAATGAGAAATGCGTTACAATTTTGTATAGCTAAATTGATTTTGATCTCAATTAATTCATCAGCCATAGACGTGTTTTGTGTGACTTGAGCAAATACTTAGTTTATGCCTTGGCGTTTACTTATTGGCAAATCAGTCTTATTCTGGTGTATATTTTATTTTACCTGGGGACATTTCGCGGCGACCATCTGAAACAACAACAAAAATTCACATCGAACAATCTACTATAACAAATTACTGTTTCAATCGAAATTTTTAATTAAACATGCCAGCACAAACGAGTGTATTAAGTACTTTGTGTAGTGTTAATAATTGAATCTGGGTATAGTACGGAAGTAATAGTTGCTCGATTTTATCCGTGATTATACCAGAATTGAATCCGGTGTTTCATTTAGTCCTAGAATTGGACATTAATTTTACGGGAACCCTGATAAAACTGGATGTTATAGCACTCTGCACATCTAACTCAATTTACCCCATTTTTTACAACAATTTGTATGTATAATTCAAGTAATTGAATTTGTGCTATAACATGCGTATTTATTTAAGTTCATTAAAAGCTATAAAATCAGTTTATAAAAAGTTTTTAATATCGAATATTACACACTCTGAAAAATCATGATGGATGGTTTTCCTCTTACTGACCTCTATCAAGTGCTCCACCGTAAATGGTAGAGCCGACATGAAAATTCAATCTCTCAGCATCAATAATGCATGAAAATATGATGGATACCCGGCAAATTTGTCGATCCGCTGTTCCTTTCAAACTAAGCGTATATTTGCTGAAATGCTTCATTAAAAATGCTTACGTGATTAGGTATTTAAGCATGAAAATTTTCCAGAACAATTACGTTTCATTAAATTTATTATTCCCGTCTACTCCATACCATAAGAAACTAAAATTACCCATTCTATCTTTCATTGTGTCTAGCTCATTTTCATGTTAATTAATATCAATTGTTCCCGTACAATAGTTTGCCAGTCTATTTATATCCTTCCCAAGATTTTTCTTGGTTCTTTTTCCAACCTCGTCCCAATTTGAGATGATAAAATTAACATTTTTATGAGAAATTTTTAATGTTTATACACGTCTAGCCAATGTATGCTCTCCATTAATTTATCAGACAGAAGGATCTATGGAAAGTCATCAGATCAATTATAGATTAAGCTCGTGTAAACAGTTTCTTGTTGGTGTATTATGATACAAACAATGGACTGATTGAAAGGGCTTTTAGAATTGGGAAAATTCGTGGGCGTCGAAGCGATGTCAGTCGCTTTTCTCGTTCTCCTATACAAAGTGTAATTGCGAAATAATTACACCCGCTTCATATAAATTGATTTTTCGCTACGTTATAATTAAATGTTGTATGTCCAAGGCAATTACAATGCTGATTGATTTCGATGTCGTTTACAAAGGAACGAATTTTAAAAGTCATTTTGCCCTCGTTTTGGGCTTTTAGATTTTCACGTAAAAACGTGGAGATTACGGAAAATGATTTACTACGAAAATCTTCGATTTTCCCGATGAAAGCTCATTATTAATGAACGTCAGTCTCTAAGCTCGAGACCTTTTGTTTCGTGGCTATGCAGCCCAAAATGATAATTATTTTTCTGTTGTTGCTCTGGATACTTTTCGCAATCAATTTAAATAACGCGGCATATTCAATTTCCATTAAAAGAACGGTGTAATGGAAATGTGTGGTAACAAAAGATTTAGCCGCAACTACGCAAACATTAGCAAACACGCGGGAGCAGGGAAGGTGCGAAATAAAAACGAAAAGAATGGAAACAAATAGCCCAAAAACTCTATTCTGCTCGCAGAGCTGTTTCGTTTTATTGCCAAAATAAGCTACTTGTTTTAATATTTCTGCATTAGCCGGGATTTGCGGGGAAATATTTATGAAAGGCACAGTGCACTCAAATTTAGGTCTATAAAAAATGTGTGGAGCTTTAATATTTTTTTTATTTTTCTTTGTACAGGATATCTACTGAATAATTCGGGGAGTGTGGTAGGGAACTTTTATTATACCAAGAATGTCTTAGCTACTGTATTACTTAGAGAACTTCTAGGTGGTTTCACTAGATGAAAAAATAGGCTATTAAATATATTCTTTATATGCTTGTATTATATTTGGGACACACTGTATACCTACACATATCAAAAAATAAAAAAATCTGGAATTTTATAGCGAGATAACACCTTTTTTTTCTATTTCCTGGATTATTTATCTGCAAAATATCTGTAACCTTCATTATTATTGATGGTTATTTATCTATTCTGTAGATGCATCTAATCAACTGTCTATAAAAAGTAGGTACTCTATTAAAATTAAGAATGTATACTTACATAACATAAGACATTATGCTTAGAAGAAATAAATTCAACTTGGCCACCAGCTCTAGTTTCCTCCTTCGGTTTCCTTTTCCTGGTACAACCTCAACAATTCCATGGCATCTTGGGCCTGCCTCTTCTCGCAGAGATACCGGCCGGAGGCCTCTTTCAAGTGCTCCAAAAACAGTCTATCGGGGAAGGTAATATCGACAAGAGACTCGGGGTCCATGTCGCTGAGTAATTCTAATTCCGGCCCGCCGAGCAGCGAGAGATGACATAAATTGTTCTTTAATTTATCCACTAACCCGACCAACTGCTGGCCGCCTTTGCTGTCGTCCACTTGATCGAGGCTTAGTCGGCACGGAGGCTTCTGGGGCATCCAGTGCTGCCCCTCCTGGAGGATCATCAGGCTGGTGTTGGTGTCCAGAGTGGCGAAGTACTCCTCGTCGTCGATCTCGGTGCCGTCGGTCTCCAGCACCACTTTGATGGTTTCGTTGTTGTCGATGTTAAGTTTGTCCCGCACTTTTGAGGTTAGGTCTTCGAGGGACTCCGCCACGACGCCTTTCTTGGTGTCGCGCGACAGGTCCGTGATCTTGAAGGGTTTGCCGGGCTGCGCTGCTTCGAGTTCCATACTTCGGCAGGCTGTTCACATTTAATAACGAAGGGTGAACTTCTCACCTTGGACTCTTTGTTTAGACTGCGAGAATTCGAAGGTTGCCGCCCTCCAGACTCGCGTATTGGGGGTTGCCGGCCACGGCGCATGACGAGCAAAGGGTCACTCGGGTTCATAGATAAAATCGATATGTTTAGGAAAATTTCTAATTCTACGAATTTTGCCAGACGTAGACTAGAGTTTCTTTTTTAATTTTAATCGTTACATTCATTGGAATTAGAAATTATTCATTCATTTTATAAAGTTTGACACTTCGAAATAGGCAACACTTTATACACATGGATCAAATTTTTTGTTGAATATTATCACTCATTTTTAACATTAATTATTATTTTATTAGGAATGTTTTATTGTTGAGTATAGATTCATTTTTTAAAGGAGACTTTTGTCTTTAGCTAACAATAAAAGTAATTCTTCTTTTAACTCCAAAATGAGTTGATAGAGATAATAGCCTATTCTTTTAAAGAAAATTAAATTTGTAACAACTATTTGACAATTTTAATAATTATTCATTCTTTTGGAAAAGCACTAAAAATCAGGAAAAACAGTACCTAAATTGACCATTTTTTTAACACAAATCAATGTAGATGACCTATATCGTTCCTTCACTTCAGACTCTCAAGATTTCATGATTTTTATACAATTTTGGAGTTCCAGGAGTAAATAAATAAATAATTTAGTCACATGTATTTTATTTAATCTTAAAAATCTAACACATTCTCATAATTTCCTTAAAGTAATCGAGAACGAACAGGGACATTTTGGTAAGCTTATCACATATACATCTAATACACTTATTTTTTAGTCGATAGGATAAACACACACCAAAATAGCTCTATGTGCGTCAAAAAAGCAGTTAGAAAAATACTGTATTAGATAGTATTAAATGAAGGGGTTCATTTTCAGTCTGAATAGTACAGAGTTCACCGTTTGTACGGCCATTTTTTTATACAGAAATGAATAATAAACTCGAAAATACGATAAAAAATATTGAAATGTGAACAATATATGATATGTACATCAAGTTTACAAAATATATACTTTTAGATCATATACAATATAGCATATTTCCCAATTAAATTCGTACGATAAGTGACGGTTAAAGTAAACTTACAAGGCAATGTATGCAGCTACGGCAGCTATGAAATTCCAAATACCTGAGGACATTAGTTTCGCTAAGCATCTCAGTGATAAAACTTGTTAAAATGCCCCTAACATGACTCAAGATACACAGATTTTAATGCAGCATACAAATTAAACTGTTATAAACTACTTTTAGAATAAAGTTGTTATATTTACCAACGAGGCATGAATGTTATTAACAACAAAAACTAGACAATAATCTATACTGCCAACAAATTCCTTTATACTTATCGAAACCCTTACAAAATAAAACAATAATAAATTAAACATATACGAAAAGAGCATACCATCTGTGTACCTCAAACAAACCTCAATTACAACAAAGTGCACGGGGTCTTCTCCCTGAAGGGATTGACCCTTTGGCTGGAGAATCCCACGAGCAGGCAATCATCCTGCTCGTGTTCGCTGATGTATTTGATGATGTCTTTGACAGCCATGGAGACTGGTATCCTCTTCACCGCCGCTTCTCGACGGAGCTGTTCGGTGACCAAACGTTGCTGCTGTAGGTTTGAGGCAACCATGTCCATCAACGCTGTATCTGACAGAACTATGGTGAATAATTTTGCGGACGATGTTAGAGAGGAAACAAGGGTGCGGCTGGTTAACCGCTACCTAATTTCGGGTATTCGTTAGCGTGTTGGCACTTCGTTGCAATGTAGGCAGGTTCGTTACTGGAAATAGGGAAGTCGAATTGTAGTCGCCAAAATGGTGGATTCAATTAATTTTGTATTTACCTTTGTAAATTGTTGCTCACATTTAACAACTCAACTGTCAAGTAGAAACTAGAAAATGTTCCAAGTGTCAACAATGTCAATACTGTTGTTTTAACAACTGTCATTAGTGTCAATTTATTTTCACCTGTGGCCTTTACTAATTGTGGATACAAGCTACATTGACACAAATTTATAAAATGGGATCGTTACGACAAATGATAGCAACAATATTATTTTTAACAAAGATAATACGTTATAATATGAAGATATTGTACAAAAATAAACCACAAATTTATTAAACTTTTTCAACGTTTTATACAAACAATATATGAACTATAAAAAAATATGTGATTGAAGAACTAGATTAGAAAAAAGTGGTAACAATAATTTTTAGAAAACAGAACTTAAATTACATCGACAAAATACTTGACGAAGTGAATTTTAAATTAATTGTACAACTTATTAGCAGCTAATACTCAAAATACTTTGTCAATATATTTTACAACTTTGTAGAAAAGTAAACAAATATACAAATTAATTACGTAAATATGCAACAGCTTCCTCATATTTCATATCGTAGCATTCCATGAATATCCTCAAGCATAATTCGGCTAATAACACAGTAAAACAATATCTGTTGTTGAGATCATTGGGATCAAATTCATAGGTAACCAGTTTCATTAGAAACTCTATTTGCTTGAAGTTAAACACAATGAAGCCCGGAGGAAAATTACTATAAATATTAAAATTGTCTTGTAGACGTTTGTCATCATTAACGCCTTTCTTTTTCTTAATAGCAACAAGATATTTCTTATTTCTTTCGAATGCAGACAATAATTGTTGACTAGACAAATGCTCGCAATCTAAAATGTTTTCTTTCTCGTTCAGAGATTTTCTAAATGAGCGCAGCTTTTGGGAATGTTTTTCTGAAAAATCGGTCAAGAAGGAAGTTTTTTCTAATTTGGCTTTAATTTGATTGTAATCTTCCTTTTCCTTCAGCAATTCGTCGATTGTTGGGATTATCACATTGTATTTCTTGAAGAAAGCCTTTTGTTCCCTGGTGGCTTTAGTTTCTTTTATGGAACTAGATTTTCCTGGACTCTCAGAAGAGATGTCTAAACTACTTGAAAAGTCGCTTCTCGTAGAGTTTGAGCTGCTGCTCTTTGATCTAGTTGAGATTTTTGTTGAAGAAGTTCCGATAAGCCTTTTCGAATTTGTAATTTTACTACTGCTGGGAATGTTTTGTTTAGTTACATCTTGACCAGGTTTTTGATTCGCTTTGTGTTCATTTGGACTTTGTGAATTTAACAATGGGATTTTTTTAGCTAGCCAATCATCTAACTTTTGGTTTCCAATTGGAAAATCTTTGGTTTTGCGTATCTTTTCTTTTCGAGGATGTTTACTCAGCCATGCTGATTTCTTTTTATCTCCAGATGAGCCTTTCTCTTCTACAGGTAATTTGCGTTTTTTAGCTAGCTCCATCTTGGGCGAATCCTTTTCTTTAGCTTTTCTGGAAATGCTGCTACATGTGCTTGATGATTTCTCTTTCTTAACTTTTACTTTACTTTCTATAGTAAGCATTATTATTAACTTTAATTTATTTGTTATATGTAATAACAACTGTCAGTAGATTCGTCTTGCTATGTGATCTAAAAAATAAATCAAACTATTCAGTGGATAAAGGCACAACATAAAGATTTTGCTTACTTTACATTATATGTTACATCACTTCAGCAGGCTGGGTAGACCAATTTTATTAATGTAATTTACAAATTAGGCATTATTGGAATAAATAAATCGCCTCATAACACTAAACAAATCACAATTTGAACAAAAAATCTGGCGCCCCTTCACAATTCACAACACAGATATAGGGCACATAGAACAATTTTATCAATGACATGTGACATAAAACATTGGAAATAGACCTATTCAGTTTACGAAAGAGAGTGATGGAGTTATTTGATCAACATAAGAGAATAAAAGAAACAAATATGTTTCACGCGCAATCTGTGGAACCATTTAAAATCTGCGCAAACATAAGTGCAAGAGAGATGAAATATTTGGCCTATTTCTTTGCTGATTGACAGACACATTGAATGATTCTTAGATGAAAACTGTTTTAAATATAAAAAAGAAGAGACCAACTTCAATCTTAACCCTATTTTGTTTCCGTTTGATGTTTGTTTATGTTCAGTGTGTATTATTTTTTAACAGTATTTCTTTGTATTATTTAGTATATTTATTTATAAAGGTAATAATTTTTTGTATAGGTCAATGGGATTATTTTTTTGAAATATATATTATAGCAAACCGATCAAAAAGCATTTTCGGAAACTTTGTACTAACCCTCTTACTCTTTCTTAGACTTGTACGTAAATATTAAGCCTATAACCCCTTTCTGGGCAGTAAAAACAAATTTGTATCGAGTCACCGCGTCCATTAAATCCGACGGATTGTTGGATAATGACAAATGACGTCTTCAGTTGTCGTTGTCTGGTTGTCAGAACCGTATTTTACCTGAGGTGCGTTCGTTTGTTCGTTTAGATGTCCAGCTAATTGTCCACAGTATGCGCGCGCAGCACAGGTTAAACTGAATAGGTCTAATAGACCTATTCTAATTACCCCATCTGTCACTTTACTTGGTCAAATGTCAACTTCATCCTTCAATTGTTGCTGCCATTTTTCATATATGTTTTCCTGATACACTCATTTTGTAGTTTAACAATTTCGTAATTATACCTAAATTATAACATCGAAATGGAGGCAGAGCCGAACATTAATGAACTAGGAGATAAAAAATCGTACGCCGGCATACCGGAGGCGGAATTTGTAGTAAGTTTTATTAGAAATATAGCAATGAAGTCTAAAAATAAATTGTAACCTAATTTGTACGTTTTACCGTGTGTGAATTCGATTTAAAGGAAGATGTGGACGCCTACATGCAAAGATCCGAGAACAACAGCAACGTAGACGAAGTGCTAAAAAGATTAGATAGCCAACACTCGAAATACAAATTCATGGAGTATAACCTTCTTTCCAAGAAGAAGAGACTGTTGAACCAAGTGCCGGAACTGAAGAGATCGCTCACGATGATTGAAAAACTAGAGGAAGAAAAGGAGGACTTCGAAACGCAGTTTCTTCTTAGTGAACAAGTCTTCGCAAAGGCTAAAGTTCCTCCAACGGACACTGTTTACCTGTGGCTCGGTGCGAACGTAATGCTCGAATATAGTTTAGATGACGCCAAGAAATTGTTGAGTCAGAATATAGCAGCGGCAACGAAAAATTTGGGATATGTAGAACATGACCTGGACTTTTTAAGGTAACGAATTCCCCTACAGGTTGTCCCAGCTTCAGTTATAATTCTTAACTTTTTGCAGAGATCAATTCACAACCACAGAAGTTAATATGGCACGTGTATTCAATTGGGACGTCAAGCGGCGTCACGCTCTGAAGGCGGCGGCAAAATGATTACAGTGATATTAAACATAGAACTTTTTATAAAACGGTTATTTCAAAATAATTTCACTGCGTACGAGTATTGGCACGTACGGAATTTGCTCGCAGTTTTATTTTAATATTGTTTATTAACTGCATAAATAAAAAATGATATTTTGGACACTTTGGGTTATGTATTTAATTTGCATTTGCAAGGCTAACATTTGTACATTAATAATTTTATCACAAACAAATGTGAAATAATTTAATTGGTGCTTATAAACATATTAACATAAGGACATGTTTGAAGGAACAAATTGGAATTTCTGTAGTAATTGTACTTTACAAAATGGCACAGCAAATGCCAGTTCATTGAAAATAAAACGAGAAATAAATAGTTAAAGCCTTTTTATAATAGTAACGTTTTTAACGAAACAAGTGAAATAAGCGATGTAATGAATAAAACCATGATAATAATTAATAAATATTTTAATAACTCAAAGAATTATCATATTTTTCATTGTATCCTTAGAAATAATTAAGTAGCAGATTTATAGAATGACTAACTATTGGAAACAATTTGTAATAATTAAAAATAAAGCTTAATTCAATACGAACGAAAATTAACCAAGTTGCAATATGACAGTCAATAGTATAAAATAATTCCCAATTAAATTATACTCAAATTTACTTTGCAATTGACTAGAAAACTGCTCGAAAACTGCTCGACTTATAACGCAAGGATATATTTATCCGAAGCAAACGTTACCTTAAATTTTTGAACAATATTTAACGAACATTTCTTTGATTATCTAATTATTTTATGACCAGATATTTTCTCCGTCTAATCTTAATTTAGAAGATATTTACTATTAGAAGATGAAAATACCAAGCCTCAAGTCATTGGATTGCATTGCTTTGCCCTAAAATTAAACAATTCTGTACCTTCAGTGATTCACACTGAATTTTAACCTGTTATTTAAATAACTAATAAATATAAATGCTAGACATTTTATATAAAGTTCATTTTAAAGTCTTCAAAAGACCAATTACACGCCTGAAAAATCCTTTCACGCCTTTAAACACAACATCTATCTCAAAATTTCCCTCGTTATACTTATTTACAAAAAAAAAATGCACAAAAACAAAACATTTCATCCTGACTCAAGTCAAAAAATAAAATTTATTATAACAGCGTTTATATTAATGGAAATTAATCATGTACTTGAATATACTAGTCACTTCACGTTCCCATCAGCTTCGTTGGGACTAAACCACTCGATAAAAATTGGGAATCCATTCTGTTGTATAAAGACCAATACTAATCAAGTACACATAATGAAATAAACAAAATGAAAGGAAATATTCTCGGTTCTGCGATTACTGCACAGGCTGCTCCTCTCCGGCCGGAGACTCCGCTGCCTCCGACTTGGCCACTGAATGGACGGACTTCGTTTCAGGGTCTTCGTTTTCGGCAGCTGCCGCTTTAAGCACCTCGATCTCGTCTTGCAGTTGCTTGATGCTCGAGTTGGCCTCGTCCAATTTGGCAGTCAGCTGCTTGTGCGTCTCCAAGCCGGCTTGCAAAGACAACTTCTCGATAATGTAACTGTAATCGAGATGTTAAGGAAACATCATGGAAAGTTTGTGGTTGGGTACAAGAAATCTGGATGGTTACAGGACTGATAATGTGTGTGAAGTCCGAAATTACAGTTTGCGTATTATTTATTAAAAGGATACTTTAAAGCGTCTTCGGGTTTATCGACTTCTTCGTAAAGGTTGACTAGAACCTTAGTTAGAGCATCCATGATACCGGCTTTTTCGAGGTATTTGCGGAATTCCTCTCGTTTGCCTTCAGACGGCTTGAAATGAAAATAATTATAAAATTATGACAGATGTTTGCTAGAATTCTTACCTTGTATGTTTGGGGAGTGCTCATTGTTACTTAAATTATAAAGTAATCAGTTTACTGGAATCGTATGCGATATAAATTATCGGATTTTTTTAATTAGGACGATTTCTCAAAAAATTGACAGACGTTTAAGAACCTTTTTATCACAGTTGACACAGTCAGTAATTTATGTAAAAGAAATGCAGCGAGTTTAATTTACAAAACACTTGGTTAATTTAATTTTTGGGTTGATTTTTTTTAAACTTAATACTGTAACACACTACTGATTTTCAAATGACATAACATAAAATAATGCAAAGTTGGAATTTACTTGTTTGATCAATTTTTTAAGTTTTAAGCTGTAATTATTGATAATACGTACAATCAGTTTATTGGTTAATCGTTCATACACCTGTCAATTATTTTATATCGACCAATCACGTTGAAACAAAAAACTCGTGAAGATGAGGCTTAATGCTAATAAATATGTTTAAAGTTGGTAGCACTGCTTCAGAATAACCAACAAATTCAATTATCAAAAGTCATAACAATTTTAAACCCATGCTCCTAATTATTTAAAAAAACAAATTAAGTAACAGTTAAATATTTCTAGAATATGGATATTACAACTAGCCTTATTGTAATACTAGTACTATATGGTGTCTTACTATTTTTTGACAATTTTTTCAAGGTAAAACACTATGATTTTCTAACACCAACCCTTTTAAACCATTCAATTTCTTTCAGACATGTGCACATTATCCTTACATAAAATTTTTAGAAGGTACAGGATTCGAAATTAAATTTTTTTCAATCAAATGGCGAACGAAAGCCTTCAACAGGTTATTAATTCGGTGGGGAAACAGTAACCTTAGGTTCTTTGATTGGTGGTTCACCGCAGGCCTCTATTGCACCTTATGGTTCTTACCAATCGCAATAATACTTATGCTATACAGCGTGTTTCAAAACTTTCTCACTACACGGGACCAGCAAATTTTAATAGAACCAGTTGTTCCGGGGGTAAATTTACCTGCCTCTGAACTCGGTTATTACAGCTGTTCGCTCATCGTGTGCAGTATTATTCACGAACTGGGGCACGCATTGGCGGCAGTTTTAGACGACGTTAACCTGCTAGAAGTAGGTGCTCACGTATTCTTCGTGCTCCCCGTAGCTTACGTAAACCTAGCAACGGATAAATTATTTGCAGTAGAACGCAAGAAGACTCTAAGAATAATTTGCGCTGGAATTTGGCACAATTTAGTTTTATCGCTAATAGCAGTTATTATCTACTTGTTACTTCCTTCGATGTTTAGCATTTTCTTTTCAGTGAATAAAGGAGTTACCGTTAGTCAGATAGGCAAGAACTCTCCGATTTTTGGCCACAAAGGGTTGGTTACCGGTGATGTTATTTATAGAATAAACGACTGTAAAGTGTTCGATGAAGACAGTTGGTATGGCTGTTTGAGCCGAGTTAAAAAGCAACAGGCAGCGTTTTGCATTAACCACGATTTGATTCGCAGTTTGGACGAAAGCGTGCCATTGAAGCATTCCGATAACGGTAAATTGGATTGTTGCGATGGGGCGAAATCGGAAAACTTCTGTTTCGAGCACTTGTCTTCAAACGATGATGATGTGTTGGAATTGCCCAATCACGCTTGCCTTCCTGCCAGAAAGGTGATCGAGGAGTCTCCTAATATTTGCACTTCCTCGCCTCATTCGTGCCCCATTAACAGATTTTGCTTTAGACCAATATTAAATAACACAGCAAGTATAATGACTATAACTTGCAGGAATAAGTTAGTAATTTATTTAGGGTATCCCGAAGATGTTTCGAGATCGACTGAAATATCCTCTTACATACCAAAATTATTTTTTACTAGTCCATTTCTACCCGATTTAGTTACGAAATTTACCATGTATTTAGCTTTTATATCTTTTGGTCTAGCGATAGTTAATGTATTGCCGTTTGTTTTCATGGATGGGCAGTATATTTCAGAAATAATTGTAGACATTTTGTTGAAGAAAAGGATCGGCAATAAAAAATGTAAATTAATTGTGGGTGTTGTAACAACACTCTTCACGTTGATGTTGTTGTTGCACTGTTTGTATTTTTTTTACAATAAAATATTTGTATGAGCATTTCTACATAGGCAATCATTTAAACCTTTATGTCAAAATGTCCCTCTTACAATCCTACTATTCTGGTTAATATTTTTACAATAGATTATTTTGCTAAGTTTATGGATGTTTCTAGTTCTTTTAAGCACCTTTCGCCGTATTTTATGTACATTTTTATTGTAATTTCGTCCGTGTGATGGGAGTTATTCCTAAAATCGGTTCTAGCCCAAGTCCTTAATTCCTGGCGATAATTTTCATCAGGCACTCCTTTTATTGCACGAAATATTTTCCTGTACAAAGTTTTAACTTCTTGTCTCAAGATGAACTAGAAAATATATGTTGTTTTATTAAAGTAAATATTGTTGTTCTGAACCTACCTGTTTTAAACTTAAAATTGGCTTATTTAAATTCGACATAGGCTTTAGTTAGCAAGACTGAAATCAAATTTATTTAAAAAAAAGTTTTTAATTTTACAATAAAATTAGGTTATTTTATTCTTATTTTTAGTATATGGCCTTTATCTTTACAGTTATTTGAACATGGTTATTTTTAGGTTTTTAAAAATTACTTTGACATTTGACGTTTTTGACAGTAATTGTAATTGATGTGAGGGGGGATTAGGAAAATATGTTAAAAAGTTATTAAATTTTCTGTGATAATTAGAAAAAATGGAAACCATAGTATTAGCATTAGATTTAGAGAAAATTTGTCGTGTTTGTTTGTTACAATCCGATTCAATGTTTTCCATTTACAGCCAGTTATTCGATAATATTACTGAAGAGAAAATGCCCACCATTTCCAACATATTAATTTCCATTTCAAACATGAAGGTACCCAATATCAAATTATTGTAAACAACAACTGTTTACTTATGTTGTATTCTTTGCAGATACGCGAATACGACAATTTGCCAACCATGATTTGCACAAGGTGCATAAACAGCGCTCATATTGCATACAAATTTCAGCAACAATGTAACACATCTCAGACTATACTAGAATCTTATTTAGAGCAAATTAAAATGAATTCTCCAATACGTACGCCCAATACAGTCGATGATCTCTCGCACAGTATTGTCGATGATCTCTCGCACAATATTGTTGATGATATCTCGCAGAATATTGTCGATGATCTCTCGCAAAATATTGTCGATGATCTCTCGCAAAATATTGTCGATGATCTCTCGCAAAATATTGTCGATGATCTCTCGCAGAATGTTGTCGATGATCTCTCCCACAATATCATAGATGATCTTTCACACAACATTGTCGATGATCTGTCTGCAAGCTCTATAAAACTGGAATCTGATGAATTGAATGACACTCAGTATTACAATAGTTCAGAAACAGATTTGTTGTTAGACGACAAAGAAGACTTGCTCGCCGAGGGCTTGGAATACATTGCTAACGATTGCATGATTAACGAGGAAAAGAAAGTTTTCGAACAAAGTTTAATCGACGAAGAAGAGAGGGATAACGATGACTGTGATGATTTAAAGAGCTGCATTCCCCTAGGAGAAGAGACAGTAGACGATTTGATCGATAATTTCAGCGTAGAAAACTTAGAATTGATCTCTCCTAAGCTGGATTTTAACTTAAACGTACGAAGGTCAGGGCCCAGTCTGATACCTCCTCCGGATCCACCTCGTGTACCAGCTCGAATAAAGAAATGCCCCAGTATGGATTATTACAAAAAAAATGAAAACGATGCAATCGTAAGTATAAATAAAAAACCTTCTGTTAACTAATCGCATATAAATTAAATTCTCTTTAAGTTGTACGGATGCAACCAATGCGATCAGTCCTTCAGCACCCCTAACGATCTAAGAATCCACTTTAAAACGCACGATGAAAAGAGACCATACTCTTGCACTGATTGCAAAAAAACGTTTAAAACATACGCCCATTTATTGTTCCATATTAGAAGGCACGCTGAGAAAAAGATATTTGAGTGTAAAGAATGCGGGAAAAAGTACAAACAGTCCGGTACTCTCACTGCTCACATGAGGATTCATACTGGTAATTGACAATTAATTGGCAGCTTTAAATATTATTAATTTGTTGGGTTGCTTTAGGTTCTAAGCCGTATTTGTGCTCGGTATGCGGCAGGGGCTTCAGGCAAGCGCCTGATCTTACTTACCACATGAGAACCCACACCAAGGAGAAACCGTACATGTGCAGCATCTGCGGCAAGACAATGTCCATGCAATGCCATTTGGTCCAGCACATGCGATCCCACACCGGCGAGAAACCTTTCAAATGCCCGTAAGTACAATTCTCAAAGCTCCTTATTTATTTATTTATTATTTACCAGGAGAAATACATGTTATAACAGAACATGTCCTATAGAGATAAATAATCTGTACATAGGCCCCGTATCAAAACATACACTTACAAACTAAGAATATTGCACAAAATATCTTAAACTGAAAAACAGAACTACCAAGATCATCCAAGTTATCAAAAATTAACAACAGTCCCACCAAATAAATAAATTAAATTATCAGTCTCAACAAACAATATAAATAAATAAAACGACAAATCTCTAATGTATCATGTATACATATCCCCAATACATCAAATCCAACTAAAATTCTAATAATTAGACTTTATCCTTTATTTATTTACTAACTACTTTATTTATTAACTATATTATTAAGTTTTTAGCTTATTTTAACAGTAACTCTGTTAAAGTTCAGAGCCTTTAACTCACTGGGTACTGAATTAAAAACTCTGATGGCAAGCAGCTCATTATTCTTTTCGCTGACAGCTAATCTTGTTTTTGGCATAACTATACCTTTACTTCTTGTTCTGCCTTGTGAGTGGTGATACGTGTTTTTTAAATAATTGTTTTCACTACATAGAGATTCACGTATAAACATCTGAGATAACCTCAGTGGCAGAACAAAAGGCTGATTACCATATCCAGTTATAATCTTCAGGATTCTATCCTGGAGTTTTTGCAACAGATTTAAACTTGTTTTATATGCTCCTCCCCATGCAATGATACCATAGGTTATGCAACTATAAGGTAGTGCATAGTAAACTCTTAACAAGTTTTGAGTTTTGACTATTACTCTACAACAATCGTCTGCCTTTCAGCAAATGCGACAAAGCTTTTCCTTCTTCTACGAGGTTAAAACGCCACTCTATCGTCCACACAGCGCTCAAACCGTACAAGTGTACGGTGTGCGAGAAATCGTTCAATCGAAGCAGCAGCCTAAAAGTACATAACAGAACTCACACCGGAGTCAAATCTTACAAATGTCCCACTTGCAACAAGAGCTTCTTGTGGGCGCACTCGCTTCGATCTCACGCCGTCACGCACATCAAAAATTCCAAGGAGGACCTAAACGATATGAACGAGCTTTTAGAGGTAAACGACAATTCTCTACTCAAATTCACCACCATGACGATTTACTCGGACGAGAAGACTCCCATCAACGAGTCGTTCGCGATATTTTCGAGCGGGGATTTGGAGTCCGGGAGTAAATCGTTCCAGATTTGCGCCGTTTCTACGGGCGAGCAAACCGAAGGAGTGGAAACGTTTACGCTGTATTCAGCCGACGAAACAGGCCAGGTCAAAGGTTCCGTTAATTCCATACAACTATCCAATGTTAGCATGTAATCGTAATATTTCACTGTGGGTACTAATTACTTATATTAATCGTTACTTGAACTTACGTCTGTTGAAGGTACTAATTGATCTATTCGAAAAAGATGGTGTACTGTTTTCAATCGATGTCTTGACTTTGAGCATGCCATGTTGTTTAGGTGTTTTCAGCATCTAATGCGGAAATATTTGTACATGAAATGTTTAATGTTGTTCTAGTCGTACTTAGGTACATACTACTTCACTTGTTTGAATTTAGTTGAAAGAGTTTAGGACTAAATTGTCTGCTTTATTCGCTGAAACGAATAATCCACCTGTGTGCTATTCAATTAAATCGTTTCTGCGAACGAAGTTATTAATACATATAAATAAGTTGAAAGAATTATAAGTATTGATTTATATTTTTTATTTCGTGTTTTAACGATTTTTTTATATTTTTTTATTTTTACTATTCAGTATTGATTTGCTCGTTATTTTCTTCTAGTAAATTAATATCTTTAATGTGATTAAATGTGATTTGTTGTCTTTAAATGTAAATATACAATCATATAACTGGTTAATTATTGTTACTTACTGTATAATGTAAATCTGTAACTTCAAAACTACAAATTTTCAATTCATTTTACTCTCATTTCCAGCCACATTCAGTATTTATTCAATGAAACTCAACAATTGATCTTATTAAATATTATATAATTTATGTTTTGTATGTACAACATATACAAACGAGGAACAATAAAAAATTAATACAACATATAAAAAAATATATAACCCTGCTCGAAAAATCAGTACAACGTTATTTACAATATTTACAAATTCAACTAAATTTAATTAAAAAGAACTAGATAATTTACAAGCTGCCTATATCGTTAAACCGTTTCAATTTCTCTGGGAACGGATCTTTGAAGAGCACCGGGTCCGCTCTAAACTCGACGGACCGGAGGGGCATCCGGCCGAAGGCCCTTTCGAATTTGCTGATGCACTGCGATCGCTCGACCATGTGCCCCAAATCCGCCGATAGCATCTCGTTGCTGGCGCACTCGGGACACTTGAACTTCTTCCTGGGCGCCACCTTGATGGGCGGCTTATCCGTAATGTTAGCCACCAAAAAATTCATCGCTATGTCCTCGCAGTTCATGTGCTCGTCCACCCAATCTCTCACTTCGACGGGAAGGTGTTTCGTGTATAAATAGCTCCAGTATTTGTGTAGAAAAGCTGCTCCGGTGAGTACCATGGATATTTCGTTCATCCATTCCGATTCGTATTTCCAGGTGTTCGTTACGTTGTCCCATATGTGGGTTCGAGAAGGAAATCCTGCAAGGGGATTTGGGTTAGTACATGAGGGTAATTGGAGGAGAATTTTGATGCGCTTACCAACTATTCGGTCTGGAAATTCCCTCCAAACTTCGTACGCGAATTCGATTTCATCCGATGTTAACATCACGATATCGTCGTCTAAGTGTAGGACTGCCTCCGTTTCGATTTCCTTGAACGGGTAAAATCTGTTCGATAACTTATTAGCTCTCGTCCTAATAATGTTTATAGGTTTCTGAATTTTTGGAAATTCCGATACTGAAAAAAGCGGGTATCAAAAAACCTAAGAAATCGCGTAATTAAGAATACACTTACGAGGAGGTGGGTTTTTCTTCTGATTATTCCATACGACTATAATTTTCATCAAACTAGGAACTTTCGATAATCTTTCTACAAGCGTGAACAAACTGTCCACTCTATCGTACGTTAAAATAACAGCAGAAAACCCGTGCGACTTCGGGGAAGTCATTGGAAAGAATAAAGGATTTCGATTGATCTACAACAAAAAAAAACATCCATAAAAATCACATAATACAAGGTGTCCCGCTCTGTGTCTATTCTTATGCGGGACACCAACTAAACAGTACTCGTCAAGATTCAAACACTCACTTCGTCAGACCTCAAATTAACCTCGTCGTAGGTCCTGCTCAAATGTGGATAGACCCTCTCCTGCAGCACATCGAGAGCGGTCATGACGATTTTCTTCATGTTCGCGAAATGCGCCGCGTAAATGTGCAGCAAAGTGCGCTGCATTTCGACGATCCTCTTCTCCGACACGCCATTCACCACGTCCATGAGCGTACCGATGTGGCTCTCCATCACGAACAGCGCGAATCTCTTCCAATCGATGGTATCGTGGAACGGCATCACGTGGCCGTCCGAAATTATCACAGGTATGCAATTAGCTGCCATGGCTTCCAACAGAACGAATTGACCCATCCTAATGGACACGAGTGGATTGTTAAAGGGATAGATTGAAAAATGTCAAAAAATAAGGTACCTTTCTCCGCGGAAGACGAGGCAAAAGATGGACTCTTTGAGTACTTGGGGGTAGTCGAAGGTTTGCCCGGTTTCGATGTCGCATCGTTGGGTGTATTCGTGCCTGTGACAGGCGTCGAGTATTAACAGGTAATCGTGATGGTGGTAACGCAATTTCTGGAGTTCGTTGAGAAAGAACGGATCGACGTTTATTTGGGAGGACGTCGCCAGCCAAGATCTGAAATATTCGTTTCGTAAAGCCCCCGTATAATCTTTTCCAAGCTTTGATTTTTCTAAGATAAAAACAATCAATTTCTAAAGAGTCATATTAACAAAATTGATGTTAAAATTAACCTGTATGTGACAAATTGAATTATACATATTATAATTTTCTCACATGATTTAAGCAAACGACTTCTACAATTAAATTTTATATCTACTCTATTGTTCTCGGAAAAGCGACTTATTATTAATGTACTTAGCGAAGTACGCATAAAATGGAAAATAAAACGAAACCAAATTGTGCGATAAATGTTTGATATTGAACTTTCTTCATGGTGTATTTTAAAAATGATTAGCTCGCTATCAATTTCTTACTAAAACTGACACACAAAAGTGGAAAGGTTAATTTTTATCAATTAACTAATTAAATAAATTATTAATTAGTCGAAATTATGCCAATGGCGTTTTTATATGATTAATTCCAAAAATAGAGTTAAATATAGTGAGAGAAATATAGTGAATATCTCACTAACCTTTTATGAGATATATTCCTTACGGCTCCTAATCTAGCTACAGGACTAAATACCGGTATTGAAACATCGAATTTTTCTCTGAAGGTGTAGGTGTCGAAACCTGCTCCGGCTATCATTGCCTTGCCTACATCTAATTCGATCACTTGAGCAAAGTCCGGGGAATTGCCGGATATCATGTTGAAAATAAGGTGGTTCTCACCTCCCCGCCAACTATAAACAAATAATATTATTTGCATTATCATTTAAAATAATCCAACAATTTGTAGAAGTACACATTAATCATCTTATAATACTTTATTGTTATATCTTTTATGCACATTCGATATAAAAGAATTATTATCAAAGAACTTGTATGTCCAGTGCATACAATTTACCAAAATTTAATTCGAATTACTCTTGAATTGTTTGGTCCTTGAAAACCCAGTAAATCGAATAAAAATATATCTGGTACTTGTTTTTATAAAAATATCTCGTATGTTAAGCGTTGCTTTATTATTATAATAAATTAAATAATCGTTAAAAGTGTCGACGTATAATGGCACCCAACAAATAAATATCCATGATACAACTAATTAGAGAGAGTTTGAATGTAAAGTTCGCGTGATTGTCTGCACTTGTTTGCCGTCAATTACAGCATAATTGGATTTATGTAGTTTAGTTAAACCGTCGTCAAAAAACCCATTAAAGGCTCCAAAGTTTTTTCAACTGGAGACGTAACTCTCGTGAAAGACACTTGTAGTCTTCAAAGAAACCAAATTTCTCGCGCTCGTTAATATAAATAACAAGCCATTAAAATTTGTAAGACAAGTAGGTACACTTGAAGTCGATGATATTAACATTAACATGTCGATAGAGTAGCTGTTGAAATTCTTCGAAAATTAATTCATTAAAATTATTCTACTTCACCAAAAATATCAATTATGTAACAAATAGATTGATTGATTAGAATATTTTAAAATTTTACGATTAAATTTGGCATTCAGACAAGCAAAACAAAATTTAACAACAGTATAATGTATTCTATGTGTGTCATTAGATACTTACAGAGATGAATATTCAAAACAAAATAATTAAGCATCAATTTTATATTTAGGTACAGTTTGAGCATGTTAATTGCTTATTTTAATTATTTATCAATCAAAAATTTAAGCGTAATATGAGTGCCAAATTGCGTATAGAAATATTTAAACAAAGTACAAGGTATATTTATAAGAGGAATAATTAATTTTGAACCAATAGAAAACATCTCAGTTAAGAGAAATTGTAAAAATTTCAATGGATTGTTAAATAAACATTAGTAAGGTCATCAAATGATTTTTTTAATATTAATTGTACAGTAATCTCACAAATTACTCGCGAAAACCGCATGCTTGCGTAAACCATGTTACTCTGAATATTCTTATCAATTTACATTGCAAGTATTTGCAATTTCCTATTACTCGTTTTTGATAGTTCGAATGAAAGATAAGACGGTTTGAGATGGTGAGTGGAACTCCGAGTTCTTAATAAAAATTATAAATAAATGTACAGTAATTTTTAAAGAATTTGAGATGGAAATCATAAAATTTTTAATTTTCGGTTCAGTTTTAACTTTATCGCCATTCGATATTCAATTCTTTTGAGGTCGACCAATTTAGATTTAAATGTTAATGCTTGCTCAATTCAATTAAAACAATATTTATTGCGTGATTTAAAAAAAACGACATCAGTATAATCGTCTGGAAACGAAAACCTATTCGAAACAAGAGAGATAAATCCATATAATATAAGTAAGCCATAATCCTTGTAATGTAATATAGGCATAAAGACGTAATTCTATATTTATACGTAGAAGTATTGATTTTATTTAAAGAATGTGTTATCTTTATGAAAGATTCTCTTTCATTTTTATCTATGAAAACTAAGTTAAATTCCCAAGATGAACAGAATAAATACACCTTTTATGGCGGATTTATCAATGCTCAGATAAATCTATCTGTTAGATAATACCTTCTGCTAACTGTCAAGTATACAAAGAGTCTTTGTACAAAACTGTCAACCGTGATTAACTTTAAAAATTCAAAGACCTTAAAATTACAATGCTAGATAATTATACATCAATTGATCAATATATTAATTGCGTCACATATAACAACTTTATTTTGCAATTAAAACCAATTTACTGTTAGCCTACATAATAAGTACATAAAGTACATAAAGCATTACCATACATCACACGCTTTATGGTAAATAATCTTCACAAAGGATATAACAATTGTTATTTATATATAGGAACATAAAATTTACATTATTTTTGATGACTTCCTCTAATGACAAAAATAAACCTTTTAAAATAGTTGAAAACATGAAGATAAATTAACCGAATTATCTCTTGAAGCACTGAAAAGACCTAGTAATTTTAGACGCGCCAGTTAAAGGGATAATTAAGTGGGAAAACAACCTTCCGCAGTTTCCATTCGAAAAGAGATCGACGAATAAAGGCCCCATTTTTCCGAGGGTCGCCTCGTTCCTCGGCATTATCGGCTCTTCGAGCGGCCTTTGAAGCGACCTATCTGCCCGTAACATTGAAAAGAGGTCGTTTCGTAGCGCTACACATGTCAATTTGCAGCTTTTACGACTTCGACGCAGGATGTGGAAGCGTTTTCAAAAGGTCGACGTTACATTTTCGGCGTAATTATATCGCCTCGTACAATGGAAAATGGAAGAAAAAACAGGATGTTGCGAAGAAAGGGAATCGCCGGTGTTTTCAAATCGCGACCGGCGCGTTTGAATTCCAATTCATTCTAATTTCTAATCGCAAAGAAATGATTACATCAGAATTCAAAAGCTGTTGAGATTATTGAAAGCCGTTCGTGGGCGAACAAATCCAGTTAACTATAAGTTATATAGTCTTATTTTTAACCTCTGTTTAATTACATATACAATTGAAATTCGGAGCATGTAAACTCGCAATTCATCACTTTAATATATTTTAAGAATTTGCTAATTCACAGACGACTCGCACGCATAGTAAAGAGCGCTTATTATAAAGCAATCGATTGGATTCGGTATTTTAAATTCGAAGTAATAGAATTTCTAACTGGTATTTTGATGTCAAGGACTCTTCGGAATCGAAAAGTAAAATTACATAAGCCCATCTTCACAGCTTGGGGACTTTCTTGCTTGCTGGAGCTTATTCAATAAAGAAAATGATGAGTACTGTAAATTCGATGTATTTGTGAATTAATTGCATATTTCATTTAATTCCACTGTCATTTAATATGTAAAATTATATTGTTGTTTTAATCCCGCCTACCGGAAACATACGATTGTACGGGGTGTCCCAGAAACAGACCAAATTTTGGAATACAAAAAATTAGCTACAAAAAGATTTTGTAGGATTATGGACATATATTTAAATAATAATTTGCAATAGTCTCAACCTTTGTGACCTCTGTTTTTTAAAAACGGATCACCATTACCAGACTTCTTTTACATAATTGTCTACATATACAGGTAGATGCAAAATTGTTATGGGTGTAACAATGACTACTTCTATTAGTCTCATATAAAGAAAAAAGGAAGAACGATATTGTAGGGAGATTGCAACTTTCTCAATCTAATTACTGTAATTTTTATATTTCTTTCAACTCATAGGTTTGACCATATTGCAAACAATTTTGCATTTATGTGTATTTTTTTGTAAACATTGTTGTAAAATAACCTCGAGTTTTCAAATGGCACTGCGAAATAAGTATAATCGAAAAGCAGCTAATTAATGATAAAATTAATGCAAACAGTAGGATTTATCTCGACTAGCGAGATTAGAATTTTAATTTAATATAATCGTGATATGAATTCGATAATTTCATTATAACATAATAGTTCTATTATATCAGTAATGTGCTTATTTGATTTCATAAATCAACATTTTAAGTATGTAAATAAATTACTCTAAATATAGGATTTTTTCGTAAAATAAAATACTTACTATGGAAGAGAACTGAGAGCTCTAGACGTTAAATTCAGTCTAAGTCTATCTTGATTGAGAGTATCTATGGATGGAATAAAAATACAAGCCTCCTTCGGATTAGCCGTATAATATTTAGACTTGATCACAGCGTTAAGTAAATGATAATATTCTCTGGATAAGTGCTCAGTGGCGGGCACACCCCTTTCGTCCACATATTTCCTGAGGGGGTACACGTACACCGATATCCTATCATGTCCGGTATGGCCACATTTGTAGATGTTGAAGCAGTCCCAATGCGTGCATTGCGAATTTCTAGGAGTCACTATGCTAACACTATTCGTTAACTTCACTAGGGGTAGGTTATTCAAGTTGTGAAAATCGATTCTTTCATAACTTTTAGACGAATCGCTGGAGAGGTTTAATAGCGGGACAGAGAGTGCTATAAATATACAAATTATGAGTAAAACAAAGAAAAAATTTTTGTATCTTTTGTAGAGCGAGGACTTGGTGAAATTATAAACTTTGGAAATTGCGATTTTTGTGGGAACCGTCATTTTTTCTCGCACCTAATTCTGTAATTAAATGGTAAATGCATGGCACTGGGTTTCGGATAACTTTCACGCGAACGAAACTCACATATTTCTGTTTTAAGTCATGTTTTTCACTACACTTATATCTACTTGCAGGACACTCCTGTCATCTCCCTACAAAATGAGAAGCAAAAGTAAACAGACTGTTTTAAGGTTAGATGTCAGATATCGAATCAATTTGCGTTTGCGTTAAATCACATATTTGTTGGAGCATTTCATTTCGGAATAATCAAAGCAGTATAGGCAAAATGTATACACTGGAGTAAAATATGTTGCCAGTCATTTTTTCCATTGACAGCAATGATTTATCCATTTGTCATTGTCACTTGTCAATGGTAATTTTTCCGAATAGTCTTAGTACCTGTTTTTTTAAATATAAAAAGAAGAAGTTTATTGTATTTGTCAACGTCAAATCAATCGATTATCAATCAAAACATTACAATTATAAATAATGGATTTTAAAAAACGAACGATTCAGTTAACAATCAAATATTATAAAGCATCCAGTGAGTATACAATGCGAAACTAAACGCAGTTTCATATTTCACGCCTCCCGTTTAAAATCATTTGCATTTAACAGCTCTTATTGCACCTTATTTACAGACGATGAGAATCCCATTGTGGTAGAGAAGTCGATCGAAGTTGCACCGTACGCGGATCCCAATAACTTGAAATCAGAATTGCACAAAATGTGCAATGTTACCAAAGAAAAAGTAATGAAATTAAGGAATGCCGATGGGATTTTGGTGCCTATATCTTTCCTGACAGACCCTAACATACCTGACAGGTAAAATACACACTAATTGAATGGATATGGATAACCGATAAGTGCATAGTTGTTTGCAATATGGTCAATTCTATGAGTTGAAGAAAGAAAGATTATCAAAATGACAATGGTTAGAGTGAGAAAGTTGCAATCCCACAATGCCACTCTTTCTTATACAGATTACTCCATTTTTCATAGCAACATAGGCTATAGGTGCAACAAAAACAACTTCAATTAGACACTTATAAAGGAAAAAGAAAGAGTGACATTATGTCATTGCAACTTTTCACTCTGGCGACTGTTATTTTAATAATCTTTCTTTTTTTCAACTCATAGAAATGCCCATGTTGAAATCGCGAATGAAGCACGGTGTATATGGCTAATGTATGTTGTCTTTGTTGCACCCATATTGCATACAACTTTGCAGTTATCTGTATATTCAATTATGAGTAACTGACTCCAATGTTGATATGTAAAGAATTAATATTTTCACCACTAAATCTGTATTATAATTTTATAGGTGTTTCCAAATTGATGTCACTTACATATCCTACAGAGGTGAGATTGCAACAAAAATGCATTCTTCCTACTTTAATTTGTTTGATATTGCAGACAGGCCTACTGCGAGTTTGCTGCAAGATGCCTACGTTGATGCTGTTCAACAGAAAATAAGGACATTGGAGAGTCGAATTGCACAATCGGAATTATTGTTGCCCCAATTGGAGTGGAGAAGACAGGCTTACATGGAAGACACTCTTAACGGATTGCTCTATAAAGTCGGCTTTTTAAATCGCAGATTTGACGAACTCTTACCCCAATTCAGGGTCAAACAACCAGAAAATATGGCTTAATATTGAACATTATTATCTAAAATATGTTTGTGCACTGTATTAGAATAATTGTATACTGTACTAGCACTTTTCTCAGTGTATTTTAATTTTTCTTTGTGATATTAAACGTTAGAATTAAATTTGTAAAAATGAAACTTTCTAGTTGTTTTTAATCTACTAAAGAGGAAAGTATTGGATTCAATATGAACTAAGTTTTATTATGCTTTGGGAATTCTCATACCATTTTAAGACTTTCAAGTGGTTTTTAAAGGACTGCAAACTTGAAATTAAAAACTAGCCAAAACTTTCATCATAAAAGCTTCTAAAACCATAGAAATATTTTCCAATAGATCAAACAATAATTTCAAGCTTTCACAGGGTGGTAACGGCAGTTCCAATCAAACAAATTTAAACCTAAGAATATATAAACGAATTTATTCATCCACGCCTAGTAACAACTCATTACAGGAAGTATGTTCTGGGTTTGCGGACAGAGAAGCGGTTCATAGACTTGTGTTGGATACGTTTGGGCAACGGGAACCGAATCTTCGAATCGTGGAATTGTTTGACTTGTGGCCTCCTGGTGTCGCTCGACTTGACTTGTTCCACTTTAATAATCTGTAATAAAACATTAACTCATATAGTATATAAATTAATACGAACAAAGAAGATTAAAATGGCGAAAATTATGAGGATTGTTAAGGCACTGAAACCAGGAACTTGACCACTAAAGAGCCAACTTCTAACGATGCAATGTACCTAAATTAATATAGCACAGTTTCGACCTACTTAAATATGGCAAAGATGAGTAGGAGATACCATAGTGCAAACTAAAAATCCATTATAATAAAAAAATGCTTACCTGAATAGCATGTGCTCTAGCCCGATGACGAGCCCCCATATCCCTATAGCAAGCCGTTACAGCTCCAGACACGCTGAGGTCCCTGTATTCCCTGTACATGTTATGTGTACCGGAACGGGAATCGTACCTCAACCAAATACCAAAGTTCTTAATCTTGGTAGGGGTTTTTTCGGGTACCGGCTTGACCGAAACGATTTCTCCGGTGGTCTTCTTGAATTTCCTAAGTTGCCTCAGAAAATACCAGAAACGCGATTTAGCCACGATCGGGTCGGGAGAGAATATCCTCATTTTATACAATGGGGGGCTTTTCTCTTTATCGGTGGGCAATTTGCGCCCGATAACTTCATATTCTTTCAACTGAAACAGAAATTATACGGCCATTAGTAAATTGTCGGTACACAACAACACACGTGCACAATATGGAGATAAACAAATCCACGAAGAATCTGCCAATTCTGAATTAAGCATTTTATAAAAATGGACTATTAATGTCGAAATAATTAATATAATTGAATAAATTCTGTGAATTAAACGAATATTTGTTAAAAAACTTCTACTAACCTCTCCTTTAGCTTTCATGGCTACGGTTTTTTGACAGAAAGGAAGCGGAAACTCATGTTGTCAACTTACTTGTCTAATGTCACTACAATTTCACATTTCAACGACAGTGGCGCCACCATAATTCTTCTCATTTCCTGTTACTACTCTATTGAAAATCAGCCAACTTTTTTTAAACAACTTTATTTTTATTTTGAACTATTACATATTTTATACAATATAAATCTGCGTATAAATTTATTTACAAGTAAATATCAGTGTGGTTTTGAAGTTAGTGTGGTTTGGGAGTGTGACCGTCTACGTAGAAATTCCTCGTTGCCTTTGGCAGTTCAACTTCTAAACCGTCCAGATCTTTGGTTAAAGTAATTTGACATCCTAATCTCGAATTTTGTTTGAGGAACGGGGCCATATCCAACAAGTCTTCTTCGGTCTCGGTTGCTTCGGGTAGTTTTTCTAAATGCTTACTTTTTACGTATACATGGCATGTGGTACAAGCCAGAGATGCTTCGCAAGCTCCTTCCATGGGGACTTGAAAACGATGAGCTAAATAAAGCAAATTATCGCCTATTTTACCTTTAACTGGCACTTTTTCGCCGTCTTTTAACACTACGGTTATGTTTACTCTGAAAGTAATACAAACGCTCATTAAAATATGAGATATTTATAAAGATTTCACTCACATTTCGTCTTCAGACTTGGGATCTTGCCATTCGTATTCTCCATGACGGTGAGCTGCAAATTTAAATTTAGATACATTCAAATTGCAAGTTTATTTACTTACTGCGAGAAGTCCGAAAATATCTAAATTGGGCTGCTAAATGAGGCGAGTTTAACTTGTTTATAAAAAGAGGTAATCGTAGTAATTTAGAAATATAATTGATACTAATAAACATTGTTCTCGTAATTAATTTAATGTTATAAATTGCATCTTTTGAAGGTAAACATAACCTCAATGGAAATTGATTGAAAAAAATACAAATTTTTAAAACAGAAGATATTTTGACATAGTGTCAATGTCAAATGTCATTTGTCATGTCAATGTTTGTTGTCATTTCCAATATTGAATTTTTTGAAGGAATGTGCTGATATTATTATTAAAAAAATTAAGTAACAATTACAATCATATTTAGCTAACGATGGTAGTGATTAGCACATTAAGATCATTAATTCGACTGCCAATATCAATTGTAAAAAATGACGGTGAGTTAGTTTTTTCCTATTTCTCAGGCTTGTTATGTAATATGTTGGGTTATAAATGTTAGAATTATTTGTTATTGTTTCCAGCACCGAAAAGGTTTATGTCTGAACATAGGACGTTCGTAATAAAATCGTCCGATTGGCAATGGACCAAGTTTAAGGATTATATTAATTTCTACGTTCTGCTAGGAGTAATTCCCTGTTCACTTGCAATCTTTTATGCTAACGTATTCATTGGACCATCTACTCTTGCAGAGATACCCCCGGATTACACTCCTAAGCACTGGGAATATTACAGAGTACGCATAATTTAATATGCATGTTTCATAATAATTTAACAATCTGTTTATAGTTAATTAATCACAAAATGTAACATTTTATTTTAGAGTCCTGTCACGCGATTCATTGCTAAGTACATTATGACAAACCCCCAGCAAGATTACGAAAAATTCTTGGCTTATATGTACCAAGAAAGCGAAATAAAAAGAATAAGGTAAATTAATTTTGTAATTAACGAATAAACACACAATTTCACTAATCAACATTCTCTCTACCTTTCAGGCTACTCGAAAGCGAAATAAAAAAGAGAATGAGCGAAAAACTCGATTATCAAGCGTACTATTACAGACCTGTTCTCGCTAAGTACCACAGAGTTAGTAGAGAAGCCGCCGATTATTTGGAATCCATTAGAGGAGAATAAACGAAAGCTATATGTATTGTATTGATTCATCAATACTCTCAGGTTGTAGAGTTCATGAGAGTTCTACAGTTTGTTAATAGTTATTTAGATAGTGTTATTTAATAAATTTTTAAAACAATCTGGGAATTCTCTTTTAAAACCTAAAATTTACCCTTAAGCTTTGTTGATTTCATCTTTATATTATACAGTTTCTTTTAGGGAGTCTTTATTCTTTATATATTTTTAACTCTTCTGTAAATATTAATTACTATCCAGCAATCCTTAATGATGTGGTAATATTTTAATTCAATTGGCACTTTTAAACAATTAAATGAACACTTTTGAACACACTCTTGACTTACGTTAAGGAAACGAGTAATTTCATAAATGGAACACAAGAATTTCGAGATATTGCAGAGGGGTCAAGAAACTTTAAATTAATAACGGTCCGCAGGAATTATTTCTCGGCAGCATAATAACATTCCATTAGTTCCTGGATACGAAATATTATATTTTCTCGTTGCATAATAAATCCATAAAAGGGAAATTATCAGGCCGGTAATCACTGATAGAACTGCTGCAGTAATCTGGAAGGGTTGTATTAAGGGTCAATGGTTCAGTCTAGATCTTCTATATGCGAAAATGAATTACCCCAATTTAATACTGGGAAAAATTAATAAAGTAAAATGAAGATTTACAATAATTTAGTGACCTAGTAGAATCCCAATTGTCCGGTAAGAAGTATTTTAAAACGCTATATGAAAATACCAAAAAGAATAAAAATGAAATTACCTACGTGAAATGAACTACTTAATTATATTTTTAAAGCATCCATCAGTTAAGAATATCTAATATTTTAAGGGAATATCATCCCTGATCCCTTTAAAATAGATTAATTGACCTCTCTTAAATATCGATTAATGCTCTTAGTATACTCACAAAGTGTACCAAATTTAGTTGTTTTAAGTTTGAGTATTGTTGAGATATTTTTTTTACTTTAAAGGCCTATAATTTCTCAAAAATGTAACTTTGTATTAAATCAAATTTGGGTTAAACGACATATTTTGGACTCCTGTTTGTCGGTTCTTACACGGAACACCCTATTTGTATAAAAAAACGAACAAAAATTTTTTGAATCACCATTAGCCCTCAAAAAATTAGAGAAATAAATTAATTGCTTATAAAAGTAGTCCATCAAGACAAGACGCCGGTTGCAGGGGCTCTTTCTTACCATCGATATTCCAGTGTATGTGTGGAGGTCTCCAGGGTGACCGATGGTCGAGATGACCAATGCCTTTATATTACCATAAGTAGCGGGTCATGAAAGCTGAAAGTGGTCAGTGTGGGCAAGTAATGAGACCGGTGCGCACAAAAAAGGGTTGCTCGAACTTTCATCCCGATTGGCCTACAGACGTGTAGCATGTTATTACTTCGAATTTTTTAAATAATCTCAAATGAACGTTTTGTTTTAAATAATGTGGAATGGTTGAAGTTTGCGATCGGATTGAGTATTGGTAATGATATTTTTAGGTATAAGTTTATTCTAATTTTGTTAAAGAAATAAGTTTATTATTATTATTAATTATTGTTGTTATTATTATTATTATTTTATTGCAATTTCTTCATTTTATTTGGAGCCGTTGAACTCATATTTTTACACGGCATTTGCTAATTTGAATTTCAAATGTGCTTTGTATTGGATTGTTTTATTTACTCCAACCGGGCGAATTTTTTGTTATATTTTCCGCAAGAAAATTTATACTATCTAGGATGCCGTGCTCCTTGATTTGTTTATAAACTGTCAATCTTATTTTGACAAGAATTCTCATTTCTGTAAATTTTTATAATATTTTTCCAGCCTACCTTGATCTAGGGATCCTGTAACTAAAAAAACAATTACCTATACTTTTCCAATAAAAACGCGGATGACATTTATGAATAATTTAAAATACTGATTTTTTTTGCGAAATCAATAAAATGTCACTTTATTTACCCGAGACGAATGCTACAATTTTGAATTTTCCATCGATTCTTCCTATTGTAAAAAACTGTGTCAAGTAATTGAGGAATTATTTATGAATGATTGATTTGAGCTTAGAGGTTTTGGTCCTTAATTTGTCAACTAAATTGCTTGACCAGCGACCACACTCAATAAATTAATTCCTAAGATAATAACCATGAACTTGTAAACAGAAAACAATTAGGAATCAATTATGCACTAGAAAGTAATCATGTCTTGGAAATAAAACATCAATAAAATTAGAGTCCACAAAGAGAATCCATTTAGTCATATTTCTTGGAATCATAAAAAATTCAATGTTATATTTAGCAAAATCCACTAGGCAAATCTCTTCGCAATCTTTTTCTTTTCTCGGCCTTCATCAGCCTTGCTTCCTTTCGATAAGAAAGGTGACAATGCATTTATTTCGAGTGAATAACAGTCTTCAGCACATACGAAAAGAAAGGCGTTTTCGCCCATTATTCTTCTCGCTTTGCGTGCTGCCTGTAATGGCTCTCACGCACTCGACATATCTGGATTTGTCATCAAATCTAGTTATAATTCAGGTTAAACCTAATATTTTTTATTTTCCTGGTAAAGCGGCTGTTCAACTCCCCGGAAAATCAGACGAAACTTTAGAGTCGGTGTCCCGAATACATAAATACACTAATTTTCTGAAATCTACTATAATTTTCTCGATTAATTATTACTACAGTATTCGACAAATTATTTCTCTGTAGTTTTTATTGAAAGTAGGTAATCTTTCGGCGTAATTTTATAATATGTCTTCTGCTTAATTATTAAATAGTTTGTGGAAATTATGGTCGATAAAAAAACGTTAAGTAAAGAACACACATGCAACAAATGTAGAGGTGTACTCAATTCCAATGAATAACTAATAAACCAGCAATCAGTGTAGGTACTTACACCAATCAAAAAAAATCTAAGGGGGTCAAGCCGGATTTGACTTTTCCCGAGTGTGCACGCCACACCGCCGCGCCAAGTCGAGCACCCCCATTTTTCACGAATAATTGATTGGACCATTCCAGAGTGGCGTGTGAAAAACCGGCGGGCTGCACTTTTCCGTCGTATTATGCGCTGGCTGCTCCTCGTGTGCGGCCCTCTTCTCGTTGTCGCCGCGCCACGTTTCGATCCCACCGCCCTCCTCAGGGACGTGCTAGTGCCCGCCGACGCCGCCGTCGGCTCCGTCGTCTACAGGCTGAGGGCCAGCGACCCCACCTTCGACTATCCCCTCGTCTTCGCCGTCATCGGACGGTCTAGCATCGTCGACGTCGAAAGCTTGAATTGCAGCAGGTTCAATTCGGTGAGCTTCGAACCATTTTAATGAAACCTCATCCATACAAATGAAATATGAACATTTTTATTGAATATTTCGTAGGTATGTCAAGCCAACGTGGTGCTGAAAAGGCGCTTGGAACCCGGTCGAATTTACGATTTCACAGTAGAAGCGAGGAGCCAAAGGAACGAGTATTCCACGCTGAATTGTTCGATTCGTGCCACAAACGCCACAACGCCTTTGGAGAAGATATTTCCCGGAGCTCCCAGTTTGTTGTCAGTGTCGGGTGAGATATTCCAAAGCTTACATTTTCTTGAATTTCTAATTATGTACCTATAAAGAGGCTTCAAGAAGGAATACAGAACTAGGCACGATCCTTGCGAAAGGCAATCCGCAGAGTCCTAGAGCAGTGCTATTAGAGTTATGGGGCTCCCGAGAATTCGGTTTGCACCAGAAATTGGTAACAGATCGGGACGCCGAAGGGACGGTCTTGTTGCTGAGCTCTTTGGATTACGAGAAAAAGACTGTCCATCATCTCACTATTTTAGCCAATGTAAGTACCAAAAGCTATTAGAAGCATGCCTCTTAACAATTTTTCTATCTACTGCAAACAACATACAATTAATTCGAATAAAGAAACTGTTGATACTAAGCAGATCTGATAACGAATTTAATTAAAACAAACATGAAGGGCACTCATTGTTCGCCTAAACACCCACAATTAAAGTGAAAGTATTGACGCATTTTTACTGCTACCTTTTTTTAAACAAATATTTGCTCGTCTAATCAACAGCAGAGGTTACGAAAAAAAGACTGGATTCCCGCGCACGATATTTGATTTCGTTTAGTGACTATCCTTATCGTGCTTTGTAACTCGAAAATAAGTAGCCTTGACAGAAAAGACGTTTACGCTCGTTTCATCGTCGGATCGAATTTTAACAAGTCTACCAGAAGGTTATAAACTCTTTAAGGAAATTAATAAGCACCTCTTCTGCGATTATCCAACCTTCCTAAAGGTTAAAACCTTAACCTAGAGGTTACATTACAATGCAATGTGGCAATTCCTATGAGTTGAACAAACATTATTACAGTTACAGCGGAAGAATTAGGGAGAAAAAAATTCCAACAATATATCAATTAGTTCCAACAAATCCACAATATAGCTCAATATCATAACTCTCCAGAATCGTTTAGATTGCTTCAGGATGAATCAGAATTGTCGAGAATAACTTAGATCTATCCAAGTTCGAGTTTAGGAATTTCCTATTAGAAAAGCTAAGCTTTGAAGAAACTTGCTAGCTCTGCAGTAGAATATTTCTAATGTTCCAACGAATTCCATCCTTCGAATGTAAATGTTTCAGGACCCATGGACCAACATGGAGGAAGATACGAGGAACATAGCGAGCTGGCCTCTTCTGGTTGCCGTCCTGGACGAGCAGGACACTCCTCCGGTGTTCAAGCTGGCCCCTCCGACGACAACATTGAGCGCCAGCCTGAACCCGGGCGATTTGATCCTGCGCGTCCAGGCGGAGGACGGCGACAGGGGGAATCCCCGCGAGATCCGGTACGGCCTGGTGCCCGAGAAGAATCCCTTCGTGGCGTTTTTCAACATGGACGAGACGACCGGTAAGCGAGCGAAAATAGCGCTTTTTGTCGTGACGCGGAAATAACCCGGCGCGATCTTGACAGGAAGCCAATCGCGAAAATAATAACCGATTAATTTCTATTTCAGTTTTAATTATTGCTGTGTTAAGCGAGATGGTTATCAGGATATTTGTGCCTAGCACCTAACGTGAGAACACGGTGTAATTATAACAAATTTTACATGAAACGTTACAAATAGTTATGAGTTTTTTAAGAGAAATGTTCTACAAAAATAATAGCGAGATATTATCATCGCCATTAAATTAAAAACTCGATTAACTGTAGGTCATACCCCATATAACTCATCTAAAAATAACCCGTCAAAACCTCATTGCATACGAAAATTGCTTATTAGGGCCTTATGCATACCAATGTCATTGCCTATTTATACCGACTTATTACCTTCGGTTGTAATGAGCGCGGTGGGAAAGTATAGCATTTTCGCATTTTAGCGTAGATTATCGACCCGAAGGATTTCCGTGTTAGATCGAGGCGCGATATGCAGCTTCCGGAAAACGGGAGCACCTCGTATGTCTGTGCGGAATTTATTCAAATGCGATCCAATTTCGGCGCTCGAAACGATGGATTTCGATGTCTCGGAAGGGTTTCGTGACGCGAATCAAAAGCCCGTTTTTTATAACCGCTGTAAATGTTTATTGGCCCGTCGGGGCTGAAGGAGTAATTATTATTTTTAAACGCGAGTGTAGGTAGCTTCGCGGGTTTATTTATGGAAGTGCTCGGAAAAAAGCGATTGCGTTTTATATATTCTGAGGAGGTTTACAAAATCTACTCGTAAAATGCTTTCGATATGAGTATAGAGTAGAGCTATAAAGTTAAACCTAACTACAGTTTACAGGGAATAAATTACTGGGAAATTGTGGGAAGAAAATTTATGAAATTCTGACTTCTAGTAAAGTAAATTATTTTTTGTACTCAAAAATGTGTAGAGTAAAAAACCAGTTAAAAAATATTTTACTGATTCTGTTCTTTTGGACGCTTTAACAGCTAAATTGAAACTTTAGAATTGATTTTTTTAGGAAAAAACCCTATAAATGGGTCACTGTGGTTGATTTTACACGAGATTACCGCATTTATCGCTCGTTTTTTATACTAAGTGACGATAAAATTTGAATTTTTACCTATCTGTGGCACGAACACTTTCCCTCGTTTCACAGGCGTGCTTTAACTCGCCCTTTAATCACTAAAATCGAATTAGAACAATAATCTTCTAAAATAAATCGAGTTTTTCATAATGAATTCCACTTTATTCTGATACTTACCAAATTACCACTTTTATTAGAAACTCGTGAAAAGTATTCTTTAAGATTTCCTGCAAATACGCCAATGGCTTTTCTGTCTGGATCCGCTGTAAAAGTTTATCAAACGCGACACGCGAATCGTTCTTTAAATTGTTTCAAAGGTGCCATTAAGAGGCAATAAATGTTGGAGAGCTGTGGAAATCAATGGAAACTTGGATTCGATTTATTTACCTAATTTATTACATTATTACATTCTTTACTCTCTATTCACACAAGGTCGAGCAGTTCGTAAACAAACACTTGAAAATTCGACTTACTTTGCGTCAAAACATATTTACCATGATGATCGCTATCGATGGAAATATAGGTCAATTGTAGGTATCCATTATTAACATTAACGTAAGGTATTTTTGTGTTCTTCTAACAAATCGATATATTTTTATTATCATATGATAATGTTTGATGATTTGGTCATTTGAGTGCATGGGAACCCCATCAGGATCTTTCAAATTTTTTAATTATATACTTTTCCTGTATCCATAAAAAATGAGCGACATTTTTTTGACTTGTTTTGATTAAAATTAAATGCTACCTGCGAATACGTCAGACAACCCGAGGAGTCTGCTAAAAATCCACAAGTCTGGCGTTAATTGAGCATAATTAATATACAAATTCTTTTTGTATTAGTTTTACATTAAGAATATGTAACAATATGTTAATGTGAACCTGTCTCTAATCTCATTAATGTGTATATGATAATTTCAATATTAATGGCTGTTTTGATGGAGCAAAAATTTGCGTCATAGAATCTATTTTAAATCTCCGACACTATAAAGATGATTAGTTTGTTACAAAATATTTTATAAATTCCTAATTAAACGATAGAAGTAAACACATTTATCACTAGTGTTGTTAATAGTCATTTTTACGAAAATCGAATTTGCCGTCCCGTTTTCGAAGCTCCATCAGACAGCTGACGAGCTCATTTCAACAGACAATTCCAGTGTAATCATTAACACGCTACCATTAGCGTTATGAAGTTGACAATATGAATTTTTGATGAGCATTCATTGAAAAGCAATTGCCATAACTAGGTTGACACACATTTTAACTCGCCAATCTATACCCCCAACGATCCGGAAAAATAAATCAATAAAAATCCACTGTACATTTATTACAGGTGAACTTCGCCTAGCTCGCCCTCTATCGCAAATTCTTTCGATTTCTCACACCGGCCAACCGATTCTCCTAACCGTAGTCGCCGAGGAGGTTCGATCGGATCCAGCAGAAGCTCCTGCTCTATCTACTACCGTCCAATTGGCTCTAATTCCACCAGGAATCACAGCCGGCCAGCCCACTTTCGGGGCTATAGAATACAACGCCCTGCTGGACGAAAACTCCCCTCCAGGAACAGTCCTGGATCTTCCACAAGCCGAAATCAACATCCAACCAGGCGATGTTGTTACACTGGACCTGGAGAACAACAATGGTACATAAGAATTATTTGCTCCATAAACTACCTAACCCCTATTCGACTTTCAGGCACCTTCGAAATAACCCCGAAAGTAGTCGAGGGCAAAACTAAATTCCAAGTGCTAGTAAGAAACTCCACGTACCTAGATTACGACGCTAGACAATCAGTAGAATGCTACATAGTCGCTGTGGAGCACGGCGCCGGGAACTACACGGCCCGCGCCAAACTAACAGTCCTCCTGAACGACGTCAACGACAATCCCCCCAAGTTCACCGAAGAAGAGTACCGCGGGAAGGTCCAGGAGCACGCCAAGATCGGTACGCACGTGCTCCTGGTTGAAGCAGAGGACGCCGACCAAAAACCGAGCAGTAGAATTAAATACACAGGACTAAAAGGCGAAGGCAGCGAGCTGTTCCGTTTGGACGGCGATACCGGCCTGATAACTGTAGCTGACTCCACCAAATTAGACGCCGAGGCCATTCCTGCGGTAACGCTAACAGTAGAAGCAGCTGACGAGAACGGCAACGGTTTGAAGACCAACAGCACCGTGATAATCAAACTCATCGACGTCAACGACAATCCCCCGGTGTTCCAAAAGGACGTGTACGAGTTTATTTTAAAGCAAGACCGCACCGGCTTCACCACGCAAGCCGTTATAACAGCCCTAGACAAAGACGCCACTGCTCCGAACAACGAGGTGCATTACGAGATCATCAATCTGCCGGACAATCTCTACATCGACGAGACGTCCGGCGAAATCCTGGTTACGAAAACTTGGGAGAATACGGAGGTGGTAGCGCTGAGAGCGAGGGCTTGGGACGGGGGCGTTCCCCGGCTGTATAACGAATGCGAGGTCAGGATTTACCCGCCGGAAGGTCAGACGAGGAAGATGAAGTTCATTTTTCCGGGATTAAATCCGGATCGAAGGGACGTGGAGGAGACCCTGCGCACGATAACCGGAGGGGCGAAGGTTCACGTTGATAGGATAGGGCCGTACCGCGGCCACGAACCGGGCGCTACCTACGTCGCTATAGATGAAGATAACGAAAGGTAAAAATAATAAATTTATCTAATGCGATTTGTTCGATTACTAGAGTCGTTTTTTAGGAGCGTGGTCGAAGCGACGGTGACCTTCTCGAACGGCTCTCTGGTCGATTTAAGCGAAATAAATAAAATAATCAACCAACGAATAGAGAAATTTAAAGAAACCCGCTTGAAGGAGCGAGAAATTATAAGGATCAAAGAGAGCAGCGGCGGCAGTTTGCTGTGGCTGCTCATCCTTTTTTTCGTTTTCCTCCTACTGGCCGCCATAGCTCTGATCCTTTGCTGCCTTTGTAAGCAGTGCCCGCTCTACCACGCCACCTTCTACAAGAAGAAAAAGCAAACCCCGGTCATCGAGAAGATGGAAAGGGTCCACGTAATCGGCACGGGCGAGGGCAAGGACAACAAATCGGTGCAAGTAGCCGAGTGGTTCGGAAGGAAAGAGGCCTGGACGCCCGACCATGGAGTGGACGTGGATGTGGACTCGATGAGGCGGCACGAAGTAGACAGAGGCTCCGATCGCGACGGTATGAAAAGAACCATCCACCGGCAGAGCGACGCCCAAACCGAGCCTTTCAGAGATCCATTCTACATCCGAGAAGGCAACGCTGATATACTCAGATTAATCACCAGAGGCGGCGACTCCCAAAGAGCGCCCCATTTGCTAAGCGACCAGCAATACATGACCGACAGTGGGAAAGATATACTAATGCGTAGATTCATCGAGCAACAACAAGCCGAAGCCAGATCTCAGGTAGGCACAATGAAATTGGATTTATAAGTAGAGGAAGTGCGCCATATCAGGACCACCATAAGCACTTTTCTCAATAAAAAGTTTAATTTTAAATTTTAATTTCAACAATTCCTTAACCATTTAGTTAAGAAAAACTCATAAAATTCTCCAAAAAAAAAACAAAATCTTAACTGAAATAAATAACATTTTTTAAAGTATATCAATTTTAAGAACTTTCAGAAAGTGAACATAATATGGACCACAACCAGATTTTTCCATTTCTAGAATATAATTGACTAATTCATCTTCCAATTCACTGGGTTTTATTGATTGTCTCTCAAGTTTTTGGGTGGTGATATCATTAAGTGATTTGTTTTGGGTGTATGTTTTGGAAGCATTCAAAAAGTCAATTTTCTTTTCTCGTGCATTTTTAATTGCCTCCGCCATTGCATTTTTTATCCCATGCTTGTCTGGTCTTCTTTATCGTTTTAAAATCTATTATAGAACATAAAAATTAATTTTTAGCCACTCCATATTTAAAACGTGTCACTGGTCCATATTGTGATACTTACTCATTTTGAGATTATTATTTTTTGTCCAGAAATTTGGAATATTATAGAATATTAAAAGTTAATACAATTGACTTACCTTCCTCGCGGTGTTATCCACTTTCACAAAAATCCTGGATCACTGCAAGCGACAGATGGGTCAAGGAAGGAGTGATGCTTAGTGTGATGATCTTTCACTCGATATAAAGCACGTTCTTTTTAAAATGGCGGTGGTCCATATTACAAGACCGGTCCATATTTGGCCCACTTACTCTATATGTATCTACTAGATGATCTTTTCGCAGGTGCTGCTACCCAACGCGGTGCGCGCCCACAGCGAGCACGAGCTGCTGGAAGCGTCGCTGCGCCAGCAGAACGCCCTGCTGCGGCAGATCCTGCTGGACCGCGAGCGCGACCTGCGGCTGGAGACGCAGTCGCTGCCGGCCGGCACGCAGACCGACCAGGACGCCGGCACGCAGACGGAGCCGCAGTACCTGCGGCCGCCGCGCCGGGAGGTGCGCTCCGATCACGACCGGAGCGACTACAGCGAAGAGGACGACGAAATCGCCATCGTCAAAGCCAGGGCGAAGCGGAGGAACGGCCGGAAGGCGCACATCAGGCGGAAAATCAAGACTCCCATACAGGAGGAGAATGAACTAGAGATCGTCGAGAAGCCTCAGCACGAAAACCAGCAGATATACAGGTTTGTTTCGATCGTTTATAGGTACCCATATCCTTTATGTATCTTCTGATTTTTTTAGGCAAACTAGAACGAGCGAAATGAGGCAAAAACGAGCCGCCAGCGACACTAAATCGTACCGATCGCAATCTTCCAAATCTAGCCTAAGAAAAGACGTGTTAGAAGAGATTTCAGCTTCGATAGAAAACAGCAACGAGAGCGAAAGCGGCGAGAAGTCGGCTGGAAAACCCGGCGAAAAGGACGCGAAGTATTACAAAAGAAGAGAGCTGTTCTCCGACGACAGCCTGGACGTGTCTCCTCGTTCCGACGAAAGAAGCGGCGATTCCTACAAGCAAAAATTCCACTCGGAGACCGATTTGAGGATGATATCTTCGCGGAGATCCTCGGAGCGATCGAATAAGATCAAGCTGAAATCGCAGAGTCATCTGGATTTGAGCCAGATAGGCGATAAGAAGAAGAACAAGAAGCCCGTTAAGAACGGCGTGCCGCGCTACATGGACTGGTACAAGAAGTCGGAGAGCACTAAGAAGGATAGCAAAGTTCCCGAAGAAATTCATAAAACTGCCAGCAAAAAGGACTCCAAAAACACCAAGCGTCCAGTCAATTCGAGGTTGTTGATGGAAACCGAATCCAGCTCGAGGAAGAAAGTTGATAATAAGAAGCCTACGTTCGGGCCGGATCATCCGTTGCTGCAGCATTCGGAGTATAGATATGAAGCTTCTTATCCTAATCAGCAAAATTTGAATAATGCGAAAAAACCGGACGAGGACAACGATTCTGGGATAGCCCTGACCAAGCCGCCTATAGCTCAAAAAAAGAGCGTGTTCACTATAGCTTACGATGAAATGCATACGAATCAGTTAAGAGCAGACAGCGCTTCTTCCCCTTAGTATCGATTTGAGACAAAACCCCGTACGATTCCACTTCTTGCAAAACGCTAATTTTATTATTGTCCTGTTTGCTCTAAATGGTTATCATCAAGATGTATTTTTATACTAAATCTATGTCATTTATTCTGTAAATAATTAGTTCATTGAACCTTTGATAAAATTATATAACGTCTTTTATATATTAACAATGTGCAAAAAAGATTGTAAGTAACAAGCAAAATATAATAAATAATTTTTTTAATTAACATCTTTATCTTTTGTTTGATGTGGACTTTTTCGTGACGCATTAACCCGGAAAGTACTGTTGGAATTTTGCTCAAATATGCCATTAAAAATTATGTGATTAGTTTGGCAAACTGGAATTAACATTAACAAATGGTTTATTTTAAGCAATGAGCGTATTAATTCCACGTGTAATATATTTCCCAATCGAAAATTGATAAACCGGCGATTTAATTAATCGAAATGCTTTGCGAGCCACACTGTATACACATAAGGTTATATAAAACTAGAAAGTGAATGAGTGCCAAGCAAGGCCAAGGTCAATAAAGTTCGAGGTTCTTTTATTGTATAATATGCCAATATAAATTATCATTGCTGTTAATAGAATCTATTATTTTTAACACGCACTTTTACGAGCCAGGTCTTTCACACTTTTTTTGTAGTAAACAAATAAATTTGATCGTGACACTTTAAATTGGACTTTGTGAGGCATCTTTAACATCTTGAACTGGCTCAAATTGTGTAAAGAGTGCTAGAAAATTCGATGTTTTCTTAATTAAGCTCCACAAGAAACTATAAATGTGAATCATCTATTAAATCATTCATTAAATGCATGAAGATTTGTTGGGTTTACATTAGATTTTATAATTTCAATATCCTCTTTGGAAGATTGTATTATTTGTGTGAAAATGTGAGTATTTTGCAGTAAATCATTTTAACAGTTTGCGGATTCGTTTAGACAGAATTTCGCGTTTCGTTTTTCGTTAAAAAAATCGAGGAAAAGGCATTCGCTTTCTATCATTAAGATTAGACCAAACAGTGAAAGGTAAAGTAGATCACTGTAAAAATGCATTTCACTTTCTATGTGATTTAAATCGGAATATTAGGAGATTGACAACATGCCTTGCTTAGTACACTTTATATTCTAAGTCACGGCCATTATGAAAATAGACCTAGTTTCGGCCTTTTTTTTATTCGCCAATGTAGCTCAAACTTTCCAAGCGCTTTTAATTTATTGCAGATCTGTGTGTCCCTTTTTTTTCGTAAATAATCATCAATTTCTAATATACATAATTAAAGGCGAAATGAAAGGACACTTTTTATTTTCGCGAGCGAAAATATACCAGCCAACAAAGAGCAGTAAAATTTGTAAAGAAGCAGCGAAATCTTAATCGAAAACTGGTGCGAAAATGATCGAGTAGAAAGAAAATTTGTAGCTATAAAAATATTTTTATACACTGACCTATAAAATTTACACTCGCCCGCGGGCTATCTGCCTTTGCAGCGCGAGCTGGCATTAAAATTCCACCCCCTCACACCTGCTTCGCGATGCGGGTACCGGTCATTTTTTCTTCATGTACCTAAAATTGGCCTTATAATTTATCCTAGCTACAGGTAGGCCAACTGAACTGAGGAATGAAACAATGCGTAGATAAGCTAATGTAGAGGGTGAACCCGAAAATCAATCATAAAACATCTGTTTCTCACTCTGTATTTTTTAAAAAGGGGTTGTAGAGGTTTTTATTTGATTTTGAGTTATAAATAAATTACAATTTTTGTGCAATTTTTGAAATAAGAACTTTTATACACCTAATTATTTTCACTGGTCTGAAATAATTATAATAGAAGTTTCTTATAATTTTTTAATAAAGTTCAAGTATGGAACAATTTTTCAAAATTTCTATCGAAGTTTTACATAAAAAAATTACGAAAATATTGCAAAAGAAGCGAATATAATGAAATATAAATGAAGCATTGCATTACAATTAATATTAGATATTTAAATTAAAGTGCAATATTTTATTTAAACTTGGGTATGTTTTAGATCGCCCTGTAAATCGAACGCCGAATATAATTATCCGACGTGGATGCGTGTACAACATGAAATAGCGAGGGAGTGTAACACGTCGAGAATCGCCCCCTAATCCGAAGTGGTACCCACAAAAAACAGAAATAAACCGCAATAAAAAGAAATGCATAGCCTATTAACCAAACATATTCAGCCAATGTGTTCAGTTTGAGTTGTGAACTTCCGTTAAAAGTCTTGGTTGTAACAAACTCTTGTAATGGTACGGCTATTGAACTATTCTTCATCGACATACCAGATTCTTAGATCAAATAATCTCCTCTTCTATTCTATCGTGTGAAATAAGAAATGATGAGTGTTTGGTGTCTGTGTAAGTGATCGACGGGTTTTTCATCGGGTTTTTTTGTTATTTTCGTGCTGATGACAGACTCGGATCAGGTTAGTTCGATGGATATGTTACATAAACAATTTTATTCTTTGTACTCAGGTATGGTGTTTTATTGCTATTGCAGTAGATGCGGTTTAATTCATATACAATGTAGTATTTCGAATTATTTTTTGAATGATAGGTACTGTATTGTGTGAAGCTAATTATAGTGAATCAAAACGAAGAAATAATTTAGTTTACTCTTATAATTATGAATAAATTGAATTTGATTAGTATACGGGGTGAGTTGATGAATTTTTTAATGTAATCAGTATTTGTTATAGAAAAATATTTAAACTGATTGCAATTGTTGTTTATTTTATCCATACGTTATGACTGTTTGTGATAAATTTGTGTTATTGAATCTTCCAGAGAATAATGTTAAATATTTTTAGAGATTTTGCATTTTATTGTTCTGAAAAGCAAATAATTCAATTTGAAGGATATTGAAAAATTCCGACAGATATTGTTTTCCCATTTCTTTTTATTTAAAAAATAAAGATTAACATTACAATAATATTTACGAAGTAGATTTTATTTCAATTTAATCGCCAACCCGTTTAAAAAATAATATTATTTCTTTCATTGATGCCTAAAAGATTATTTCTGATACAAATTTAAAGGATATTAAAAAATATACTTACTGAAATAGAAATATGTAATTTCGTTTAATAATATGCTCCCTTATTACAAAATTGTTTTCATTAATAATCGCTGAAAAAAACAAGTTATACCGACTTAAAAACGCCTTATGAAACATAATCATTTCCTTCATAAACGTTATTAGAAACAACTTCCTATTTCTGCTGAGAAATACGTGAACGCAATTTCTCATCGTGCGAATTTCTGTGTAATAGCGAAAAATCACGTTGGATGTTTTAAATTATATTTGCTCCTCAACGAATCTCGAGCACGAAAAACAAAAATCAAATTCCAACGCATCTCAACCAAGCTGGAAAAGACATTAAAAAAACTATAAATTTTTAATTTCCCCAAGAACAGACACCAAAGCTGGCACGTGCATGACAAATGCGCTTTTCGAAACAAAATAAACCTATGATATGGTTGACCAACCCTTCTAGTTTTCGGTAGTCAATACGTGAGCGAGATTCCCCCAAGTGATAATCCTAGATGCACGGTGGGGTACTATATTTCAGTTTGTTAAGTCCAGTGCCGCATTCAGTATTAACAAGAGCTGTTTTCTATAGGGTAAGGGTGACATTTATCTACCATATGTACTTTATAGAGTCAAATATTTAACTAAGACAAGCATTTGTTTAGTTAAATTTATATGTAGTATATTTCTCAAGTAGTATAGTATTCTAGGCATTGGATAATTTTAATTACTTATCGCAGAATCAATTATTTGTCTAGTAATAAACTCACTTAGTTCTCCCTGATAAATTTAATATTGTCAAGTATTTTAATGTTGTAGATTTTTTTAAAATTTACTGTAGGTAATTAAACGAATTATTTTTTTAAATGATTGTACCTAATATTTGATTAGGGAGTAAAACCGTTGAACAATAAAGATACTGAGGCCGTCACTGGTCCATCCAGTAAGAATTGTCTCCCCTATCAAAATCGTAGCCAGATTGAAGATAAGGAAGGCAGCTTCATTTATAGTAATTGTGAAGTTTTACTTCAGTGTTCGGGTTACCGGCGTCAAGGTTAGATTCAAATTATTAAAACTGAAAAAAAGAATACAGAAAACGCGCGTAGGATCGCGATTTTTTTTCGGTACGTGTGAACTGGGTAAACAGCATAGGATTTTCATTCTTCGCATGTTGGACATTTGATAAAGGTTTTGTTGTGTCTAGGACACACGTTCAATTTTCGATGTCGTGATAAGTCGATTCCGGTTTGTTAACGACCTGTACACTTCCCAAAAATAAGGTAAATAATTGTTTTCTCAGGATTATTTTTTTGAAATTTTCGTGCATTTATTCGCAATTTAATTGTTAACGGTCTAAAATTATTTTGAAAATTTGTAAAACTAGCTGTTGTTTTAATTTTATTTTCTACCGTTTTAATAGATACGTATAATTTTAAATTGCCACTTAATTTACCACTCATTATTTTGTATTTAATTTTCGCAAAGAAGGGCGATGCTACTATGCGTGACTATTACAAGAAAAATAAAACTTTTTTAAGACCCATGAAACCAACAAGATCATATAAAAACAACCTCCCAGGAACGCCCAATTTGATCATTTTTCAAAAATTGAAAAACTATAATTGAAAATCATATAATCACAATATTTCTATATTCAACCAAACAAACGACTTGTAAACTTACTAGCTGCGCATTTTGCACTAAAATGCAGGAACAAGAGCTCTAAACCCTATTAGATATGATATGAAAATAACAATAATAATTGATAAGAAAGGCAGAGTGAATTGCTTTGCACCAAATCGGTATAAACCCGTCATCTGTTAGTATACGAAGGAACTGCATATACCGAGGTAATGCACTTGTTAATCTACGCTCTGCGGTGCACACTGCACAATAGTAAACCGGTAGTGTTAGTTAAATATAGGTTCTCTATCCAGCTGATGAGCATCATGCAGCTGTAATCATATCACCATTATTAATACAAACTTTCGTATACTACATTCACGTTTATAAAACGATGACGTCACAACTTAATAAACACCACCTTCGATTTTCAGATGATCAACGAAATCTTCGACTCGTTCAACACCCTCAATTATTTACTCGTTATAATCGTCTTCATAATTTTCGGCTACCGCCCGCCTTGGTGGACACGAAAAGCGGTCGATTGGGTGCAAAAGGAGATCCAGGACCTCCCGGGGCCGCTGTCGCTGCCGCTCTTGGGCACCCGATGGGTGTTTTCCTGCGGCGGTTACACCTTCAACAAAATCCACGAGTTCTACGCCGATATGTACGAAAAGTACGGACCGATCGTGAAAGAGGAAGCGCTGTTTAACATTCCCGTGGTGAGCGTGTTCGAAAAGGAGGATATCGAGAAGGTGCTGAAAAGCAGCGGGAAATATCCGATCAGACCGCCCACGGAAGCCGTGGCTGCTTACAGGAAGAGCCGGCCCGATCGGTACACCAGCGCAGGAATCGTCAACGAACAGGGTTAGTATTTTACGAATGCAGCAATAGAAAGATTCATCCTAATTTCCAATCCGGATTCGCCCGCAGGTGCGGTGTGGTACCATCTCAGGACGTCGCTCACGTCGGACCTGACCAGCCCGAAGACGATCTCCGGCTTCCTGCCGCAGGTGGAAGAGATCGCGGAGGATTGGTGCAGCTTCGTGAGGCAGCACCGCGCCAACGGCGACAGGGTGTTCGATCTGGAAGACGTGGTGGGCAAGCTGGGGCTGGAGACCTCCTGCGCCTTGGTGCTGGGCCGACGACTGGGCTTCCTGATTCCGGGCGAGGAGTCCGATTTGGGCAGCAAACTGGCCGCTGCCGTGCACAAGAATTTCATCGCCATAAGGTAAGCAAATCCTCAACAAAACGCTGTATTGGTTAAACGATTTGTTCATTACAGAGACACGTATTTCGGATTGCCCTTTTGGAAATTCGTACAAACGTCGGCGTATAAGAACCTCGCCGAGAGCGAGGAAATGATCTACAAATTAGCCTTGGAATTAATCCAGACTGCTGATGAGGCGACCCACGACAGCGCCGTGTTCCAATCAGTCCTCAAGGCTGATATCGATCATAAAGAAAAGACTGCTGCCATCGTTGACTTCATTGCTGCTGGTTTGTATTACTTCTATATCCACCTATACGCTTCAATACAACCACCCTGTTAAAGCATAAATCTCATTGCAGGTATATACACCTTGAAGAACAGCCTGGTGTTTTTGCTCTACCTAATAGCCATGCACCCATCAACGCAGGAGAAGATCCTGGAGGATTCGTCGAAATCGTACTTGAAAGCGTGCGTGCTGGAATCCTTCCGGCTCCTCCCGACTGCCTATTGCCTGGCGAGGGTGACGGAAGAGGATCTGGAGCTGTCGGGGTACAAAGTCAGCGCCGGCAGCGCTGTGATTTGCCACACGGGAATAGCGTGCAAAAATGACAAATATTTCCGCGACGCCGGGGAATTCCGGCCGGAACGGTGGCTGGGCGAAGAGAAATCCGCTACTACCAGCAACGCTACGTTCTTGGTGAGCCCGTTCGGCGTGGGGAGGAGAATTTGCCCCGGGAAGAGGTTCATAGAGCACGTGTTGCCGATTATACTGGAAAGTACCGTGAGAAACTTTGAGATAGAGACGGTCGAACCCATGGAGTTGCAATTTGAATTTTTGCTGTCTCCCAAAGGTCCCACGACCATGTTGTTTAAAGATAGAGGATAAGTTATGTAAGGGTGAAAAGGGCTTCGTTTTAGGGATGGAAATTCTATTAAAAAATCAAAATGCGTATTACTATTGGAAGCAAGTTTGTCTTATAGCTACACATGGGCATCCATTTAGTGCTATTGAAATAAAACAATATTTTCCTATAGTTCTAGAAACTAGATAATTTCGTACATAGAAAACATTTTTAATTAAAATTAAATTTAGAACTGAATTAAATTTGATATATGCTCTTGGTAATATTACTTAATAACTTATTGTATTTTATAATTAGTTTCTCCATTTATGATGTTTAAATTTTAAAAATATCACGAGGGTAAGGGAAAAAGTTTTCGGCCTGATTTTCAGTTAAATTATATTATTTTCCCCGACTTCAATACACTTGGTCTGGCATCCTGTACCTTCCCGGAAATGAGAATATGGAAGGCTTCATGTAGACCGAGAACTTTTCACCTTACCCTCGTATGTATGTCGTATAGAATAAAAATTACCTGTGGAAATACGCAGGATATATTCGGTGATAACTGTTTTCAATCGACTGTATTAGATGTAACGTTAATTTATGTGATAGTGTAGATCAGTGGAGTTGTAGGTAAAAGTACAAAATATTATAATCGTGGGTTTTGTAGGCTGTGTAAGGTCGGAATGTATTTTTCGTACAAACTATTTGAAATGTATTTCAATAAACAATTTTTATTAAACATTTTCCTGTTTTTTTTTTTGCAAACTACAAAACTGGAAGATTTTTCTATTAAATCTATTCATTTCACAGCGTAACTCTATAAAACATTGATTAAAAGATGCCTAAAACAAACAGTAAATACAAAAGTAAACGATTATCCAGTGCATCGTCTAAACTAAACGATAGGAAAATGCTTTATCGCTAACTCAAAGATTGATTCTCTAATTCAACGAGAACTAGTAAACTAGTCTATAAGCGAGTGATAATCGAACAAAATAAAATTAATAACCGAATTTATCGTTCAAATTAGTCTTTCCGTCTCCCGATTGGTCATCGGGGGGTACCCACATGCAATAATTTTCGCGATATGCATCTTCCTCGTACCCCCTTTGACGTTCTTGTTCTATCTTCTCTTGCCTTTGTTGCGTTCTTCTCTGGTTCTTTTTCTTCTTCTTTTCATCGTTATTACCATTTTCCGCGCTCTCGCATTGCTCCTCTAACGCATTCAAACTACTATCAGGTGAATTGGATGCGTCATTAGGCGGGCTAGAATCGTTTACTGGAGCATTCGAGGAAGAAACTTGACTGCATTTAGCTTCTTCTTCTTCTTCTGCTTCCATTTTATTGCTATCTTTTTCGACGGGAGTTTCTTCACTATCGATAAAATCCTTAACGATAGTCTCGGATATAATCTTCATTTCTTTGGCAATTTTCTTCACTTTCTCTACGGCCCTGCACTTTTCTTTGGTCATCGAGCTGATTTCCAAGAGGAATCTAGTCAGTTCCGAAGACACTCGGTGTTTCGTTTTCTCATCGGGCCCGGCTCGTTTCATGTCGGCGATCAATTTGAACACTTTCTTCTTTTTGGCGAACAAAATTTTCCAATCGACGTCCATGCGATCCTGACTGCTGGCCAGTTTCTTGAAATCGTGCAGTATTTTTTGCCATTTCTCCTGCACCATCGCGTACAATTCGGTCTCCTGCGCGCTTTGTCCCTGCTGCATACCTAAAAAAAATAATAAGGCATTTTAATCGGCTTTATCGGCTTCAGAGATGGTATTTGCACTGCGATTAATGCACCATTGCACCAGGTATTCTGGTATACAGGGTGTTAATTGATTGAGTGCCGATACTTTAGGATGATTTTAAGAAGAAGAGTTTTTATCAATATACTCTGTGTCCCAAAAAGTTGTATACAAATGGCGAAAAAGTTTATCTTACATTTCACAAAAAAATATTCTTGATAAAATTCTCTGCATGACTTGTAGATCCATAATAGATGATAGAAGTTATTTTTTCCTAAAACTGTAACACTCTGTAGCTCGAAAACTAAGAGGTTTCTTCTTAAAAACATCCAAATATTTACATCCGGAAGTATCGGCACTCGATTAATTAACACTCTGTATGTAAGAAAAGTGCATAATAAATGGTACTATAGAATGAACCTAGTGCAAATAATTCTTGTTATTAGTAGAGGTGCACCACCGTCTACCATCTCTGATGAAATTATATGAATTATATTACTGGAAAACGGAACCGACGCTGTCAACAAGTTTTCAAATTTTTTCAAATATTCAATGAAACGTAAACCACTATACGAACTGGAATTTCGAGCATCGTCCTCATCGGATACAACGGAAGAAGACGACGAGGAATCCTCTAAACCCTCGCGACTGGTGCCCGGTAAATTTTCCTCGGAAGCGTTACTGCTCGTAGTTCGAACATCCTCGTTATTATCTCGGTTCTCTTCAGTCTCGTTCGAATCATTGCCAACCGTCGTTTCGGTTGTGGTTACTTCTTCGTCCGCCTCGTCGTCCGCGTCGTTAGAATGCACGACGTTCTTCGATTTATCTTCGAATTTCACTTCGATCTTTTTCCGTTTGCCGAATATCGGAAAAGCCTTGGCTTTGGCGTCTTTGCTCGTACCGGGCAGGGAGTCTTCGTACGAGAGTAGCGCCGGCATCGTCGCCGGTTTGGCGATGTTGACTAATCTAACGACTTTCGAGTGTTCAGCTCGAAGTTGGGATATTTCTAATTTCAACGCGGATAAAGCGGTTTTGTCCGATTTCGATTCGGATAGGCTTTTCATGTACGCGTCTAACGAATCCTCATCGGCGTTGCCTTTATCGTTTCGATCTTGCTTTGATTGGAGCGACGATAGTTGCTTTTCGAGTTCAGTGATTTTGGTGGAAATTGATTTGGCTTTTTCCATCTAAAAAAAAAGAAAATTATACAAGCTGTTAATTAATTGAGTGCCGGCACTTCAGTATGTGAATATTTGGATGATTTTAAGAAGACAAGTTTATATCAATGTATGTCCTAAACTTCTTGTTTAGGACGTGGACAAATTTCAACAAAAAATCAAAATCAGTCTCAATGAACTTGGAAAAAAATTGTTTTGATTTTTATTTTCTTACGCAAAAATGGTACGTCGTACGAAAGTGAGTCTTTTGACCGAATTTGCTCCAAAATAAATGAGGATTTTAAAAATAATTTTAGTTTTTAGAAAAAGCAGTGGCGTACCATTTTTTCTTCAAACCTATTCAGTTCAAACCACTTACGGACGTCACTGTGAAGAATTTAAAAAAATCTTTTGCCTCAAAAAATGCTTTTTCATAATTAAAAAGTGTGTACAAAATTTCATAGAAATATCTGGAGTAATAAGAAAATTATCGTAGAAAAGTCTTCTTGTAAAACTGTCACACGCTGCAGTTCGAAAACTAGGAGATTTAGGAACTTTTCTTCTTAATCTCTTCCAAATATTCACATCCTGAAGTATCGGCTCTTAATTAATTAACACCCTGTATGATATCTATTGTAATTGTGATTAGTATTGCTTACCAAACTTTCGTACGTTTCTGCTTTTTGTGGAGCTTTGGCATTCATCCTTTTCTCTCGCTTTTTCTCGATGGTTCCGGTTCTATCCAAAAACGTGTCTTCGTCGCTGTCATAATAATCGTTTTCTTCCCAATTTTTCGCTTTCCTCTTGCGAGATTCTAATATAAAATCTACCATTAGCACAGTACTTGGAGGAATTAACTCTGAACCATTGACTCACCGTGAGTGGCCTGACGAAGGACTCCGTACCTATCTAAAATCCTGCAAGCTTCCAAAGCGCATTGTACAACTGCCTCTTTCTTCTTCCCTTTGTGAAGAACTTCGGCTACAATAGGCCTTCCCATTTCGTCATCTACTGGTAATTCGACTCTACAAAGGAATTGTCCGATACCTGCAAATTAAAGTTTTTGTAGATTTATTTGGGGGATTTTTTACATCTGCCTACCTTGCTCGTTGCAATTGTATTCAAGATCCAATCCCTCTCTTTCGAAGAACCCTCTCAGTGCCTTTTTAGGATCATCCAAATACAATTCTTCATTGTTAGTTTGGGCGTAAGGATTTTCCGATAAATCAGTCTCTTCTTCTGCATCTTCACCTAAACGTATAAAACATATTTAAATAAATACCCATTACATTACCTAATCATTCATACCTAATCCCCAATCGACTCCCCTTTCTTCCTCTTTCTTCTTTTTCTCCTCGAGTTCCTTCTCAATTCTCAGTTTCTCTTCCTGTCGCTTTCTCAGATCTTCATCTCTCTTCTGTTTTAACTCGGTCACAGTCAACTCAGATTCTTCTTCTTCATCGTATTCCGGACCATTTAGTATAAACGATCGGGTACTGAATCCCAATTTCAACATGTGGCCAACCTGGAAATCGAAATTCCCCCGTTAAAACAAATTTTCGCGAGATTTCCATAACGACATTGATCAATCGTGAAGTCTATCAATAACTACAGATATCAGTCATAAATTTAAATTTTTTTCGAATTCCATATACGAAATTATACACCGAAATGGACGCGCTAACGGAAAAACAGGTTAAAGAACAGCTAAATGAAATCAAGCAATCGTCTTCGGAGGATAAGCAGTCCGATGAATTGGATTTGAACAATGTCGAATATATCGGAGATATTAACGGGGAAAGCGAGGCGCAAAAATCCCTAAAACACATCCAGGAGATATTCCAAAAAACCGAAGCGATGAAATTAGAAGCCAAAGAGAAGGGTCAGGAATTAGAAGATCAATTCAAGGTAATAACTCGTACATAAATTATTACTCTAAAAATTATTTTCTTGCAGGTGTTAAAGGAGCGATTAAACTCCAGCTCGGAGTACTTGATCAGAATAAAGAAAAACATCGAAAACATTAAATTTTCGTACCAACGGAACGTCATCGAATTGCAAAAAAAGTCGGAGCCGCCTGCCGATATGGCCAATCACAAATTCGAGAACAGAGAAGACATGGAGAAATACATCGAAGACGTTCGACAGAAAATGGACGATCTGCAAAACCGAATGACTATGCAAAAGGAGAAGCAACAACACGTCACCGAGAGCTACGAAGAGGCCTTTAACAATGTGGTTAACGCTCTGCAGAAACTCGATACCGGTGAATGTTCGTCCGTTAAATTCTTAGGTAAAATTCTTAATGGTATTATACAGGGTGTCCCGCAAGTAAGTACCGACACGGAGCAGGGAAGTGTAAGGGGAGCACAAAATATGTTGGGATACCATGTATAGTGGTTAACAAATTTCTTTTTCAGGTGATGCCCAATCAGAAGGCGACAAATAGTTGATTGTACGACTTACTCTCATTCTAACATGTACTTTAGGTTTAAGTTTGCTTCTGTTTAAATATGTACCATGCGTGCTATCCAAATCGTAGATGTAAAACCCCGGTCCGTCCTTCTCGGAAGCCTCTTTTCTATATTGCAGGACGGCGTGGTACCTGCAACAATTATTGCATTTTTACCCTTTATTACATTAATTATACGTATTTTAAATAGCTGTATAATTGTATTATTTTTTTGCATCGCTACAGCACACTTAGAATTTTTCCACATTATTTGTATTATCAAATCTTTAATTGTAATACCTAGAGATAGTAGGATGTTGCAAATTAACATTGCAGCTGGTTAGCCGGCCGAATACCCAAAACGGCTTATCCATTAAGTTAATTGTCTCGATAATTGTACCATTTTTCAAAACTTCAAAAATATAGTCTTTCCCGTTGCTCTTTGGTAATCCGGACCAAGGGGGCTCTTTGTAGGGTAATGGTACTGAATGGTCTGTTGCTTGTTGGGCTGGAGTGAACGTGGGGCCTACGAACAATGTAAATTATTACGAGTTACGTTGATAAATTGGTGATAGTGGTACCTTTAGTAAGTTTGGAATCCTCGATCTGAGTGGGCTCTGCTTGCTCGGTACTTACAGGGATATTTTCTTCCGCTGTTAATGGGCTTTCGATTACCTTTTGTGCAGGTAACTTTTTCGGAAGTTTGCCGATCTTTCCTATCAAAACCGGCTTTTTAAACACGTTTTCGCTTTTTGGTTGATCCTGATCATTTTCGTGCGAAGGATTTTCGTCTTGATCCATTATTTTCTGATTTCTCAAGTATTTGAAATTGAAAATTGAAAATTACAAAAACACGAACATTCCATTGAAGTTTGAAGTTGACACATATCAACTGTCAGTTGTCACTCAATTTCTTCGTTTTTTTATTAATGGCGTCAACGCAATGTCACTCTGTATATTGAGTATTACGGTCACCTTACTTTTTTTATTATATACCGGGTGAGTAACAAATGTTTGAGACTTTTTTTTTGAATAATTATCCATCTAGTCATTTCATCAAGGTTAATTTAAATGGATTTTGAGAGGAATTCAGGGTATTGAAGAGGTTTTACTTATATAGTGAGTAAATGTTCAACAGTTGTTTAAACACAAAGAAGCAATGAACTTATGACAATGATGAACTCTTTGGGTTTTGTCTGACGCGTTTTATTTTATTTTAAATTTTAAATTTTAAAATAGATGGCTATATAATTATTTACATAATTATTCTTCAATTTTAGTAGGTGAACACATTTATTTCATAAATACATACATATTATTAAATTATAAGATCTTATAGCGATTATTAATTCTTTCTAACTGCGCAAAATAAATGAGAAAAATATCATTCGCGTCAGCGGGAAATGTTTTTATTAACAATTTAAATCTATAGTAGTTGGGGCTTTCCAGATCGGTTATTTACCCAGGACATGAATTTTACAGAAATTAGTAGTTGAAACGTATATCAATTTCCTATCAATAACAGTTGCAGCAATTAAATGGTTTTCAAATCAAAAATATTTTGCACGCTGATTTCCTTATAATCTCTTATCTCATGAAAATGGCGGATTATTAATTCCAGGAATCCTTTTTTTATTTTTTTAATGGTAATTTCAATTAATATGCATGAAAAATCAATTAATTTGATTACAAATTCATCGAGCATTAACTAAATTTATATTTTTGTTTAACTGACCTGTAGATAAAATCTATTATTATAAGAACAGGTCAAAAAAATCAAGCCATATTGATACATTTTTTTATTGCAGTACATATGTACATACATATTGGTATTAATCTTACAAAACAACGCGTATTTTCCATTAATTTCTTGTAATCGCATGTTGGAAAACCTAATTAAAATTGCGACATATTCTTAAAATTTTTATCGCCCGCACCAAAGTTTATCTACGCCGCTGTTAAAAGCGGTTTGGTTTGTCTTCGGAAATGGGAATTTTCAACATAAGTATATAAATAAAAGGAAGCAAAGTGGTCAAGTTACTTCTTGTTGTTGTTCGACATTCCTACAAATCACATCAAAATAGAAAGTTGATTTTGAAGAAGTTAAAATGAACCAATTAACGATAATATTTATTGGTAAGCTTAATTATTTTTTAATTGAACAAATATATTTTATTTTTAAAATATTTATATAATTATTTTTTTACATAGGGTCTCTAGCTGAGACCTAATATCTTACTTATACTCTAACGATAATACCCTCTATTTGGTAATTTTGCAAGGTAATTTGTTCCACTGATATTATTTTTTTTAATTTTAAACAAATTTATATTTTTTTAAGAAGTGCGAAAAAATTTAGTAAAAATAACGCTCAAATCAATGTCAATCATATTTTTATTTAAATTTTTTATATTCTTAGTTGTGCAATAGTCTTATTTATTATTAGGTGTATGTTATTGAAAGGAAAGCTAACCTTCGAATTAATTTTTCTCAAAATTCTAATATATTGTATTTTTTTAACATTATACTTTTTACAATGTTTACAAATTCATCACGGCGATAAAAAAACAAATTTTAATTAATACATTTAATTAATACATAAATATGAAACATTGCGAACTTAAACTATAACAAGATTTCTACATTATACATACAACTTGGGATTTTCCTACCTCGCGTGTTTAATCTACATATGTACATCCAAGAACACTAATTTTATTTAAAACTTCATAATTAATAAAAAAAAGCTTATCAAGAAAATATGAAATTATCAAGCGACTAATTTGTCAATTTCCAGCAACCCTTGCTTTGGGTGTGAGTTGTTTACCTCCCAGAGTTAAACGCCAATTTGACTGGAACACATTCAACAACCCCGACCAATACTGGGACTCTAACAATGCCAACACTATCCGCATACCAAGACAAAGAAGCCAGGAATCTTGGGGCAGGAGGAATCAGGGTTCGAACACGAACTGGAATCAACCAAGCGGCAGACAACTCCCTCAAAATTTTAATAACGGTATGTACTATTTTTTAAATCTTCCTATTGGTATGATAACCATATTTTCCTTATAATTTAGGCAATCAAGGATTTAACAACCCGTCTGACACAGACTTTGGGACCGGTTTCAATCAAGGATTCAACAACCCATCCAACACAGATTTCTCAGACATTTTCAATCAAGATTTGAATAATGGAGCTAGTTCTACTGTCTCTCCCAGTTCCGATGGAACCACCAGGGTTCCGGCTGCGTACAGGACCTGCATGGGCGCCTGCCAGTACACCAGGGAGTACAATCCCGTTTGCGGCAGTGACGCCAATACCTACAACAATCGACAGGAACTCGAATGCGCCAGGAGCTGCGGAAGAAGTAAGTGGTTTTTATTTAAATAAGGCTGCATAGTTGTAAACTAAAATGGATGAAATACGTGTTGCTGAATTTGGGTAGATAAAACGATAGCTTTTATCGTGCGATATCTACTTGAGGTTTCGATTTGCTGTAAATTAAAACCGCGTTATAGGAAGTGTGACTAGATAATGTAGTCTTATCAAGTCTTAAAATTATTAGGTGGTTTGAATTTAATTAAAAATACATTTTTATAGTGTTTATTTATTGCAGTAGTATGTGTGCATGATATTAAGATATAATAAGTTCATTTTTTGTGCCATCTAATGTATATTGTAATTATCTCTTATTTTTTTATTTTCCAGATACTCAATTAGTAAGAGGAGGAACATGCCAACCAGTTTAAGTCCAATTTGTTTTATAACTGTACCTAGACTGATAATTGTATTTATTAATTCATTGACATAATAATGATACTTATGTAAATCATCAACGAATTGCCAGTGATAAAAATGTGCCCTTTTTATTATTATTTATAAATATGTGCTTTGTGTAATTTTATAATTTTCATGTGAATATCTATTACACCTTTTAATAAAATTTAACAATATATTTATATTTTTTTTGTAATAATTGTTTTACATTGGTTTACCTAAATCTAACCAATTATCTAACATTGCTGACGGAAATAAAATTCCATGTGTCGTCTTTGGTTCTGAAATAATTTTCTACTCACAAAATTCTATGTGCTAAATTGTGAGTTTGTGATAGACATTTTTCAGTAACATTTTAGTGATTCTTAGTTTTTTGCGGTCCATTTTTTCTCATTGTGTAGAGCATTTAATATGTCTATTTTTGTCTGCTTCTCAAATTTTGTTCAAACGTAAATAAACGATAGCCAAAATTCAGCAGCTAAAATCGCACATCCTTTAAACCAATATCAAATATTTCTGCATATGTAAATGTTTTTGAAAAATTATTAAGTCGGTACTTACTGTTATTGTAAAACCATTATTGATAACCTTATCTTTATATAAGTCGACTTGTAGAGGTTTTTTATTAAAAATCAACATCATGTATAGCATCTGGCGATTTTTTTTATTCCAGTAAATCCATGGACACTTGCATAGTGTGTTGTAGAAATCTTCGCTCTACATAAAATAAGTATTTGAAATGTATAAAAAATTGGCTGTAACGCAGAAACTTTTACTGTACCGTTTTTGAAAAAAATCGTATCAAGTTATAACATACACTTACTTCATTTATTAATAGTTGACAATAGTGTACGTATAAAAAAATGAAAATAAGGGTTTCCAATATTAAAAAGTAGATTAAGATATTGCACTCTGGATACAAATTCTAAAATAATTAAGAAAATATCATTTATTTGATTTTTACACAGGGCATTTCTGTGCGTCACAAGAATCATAATAATAGATAAGGACAATTTTTTGACTTTTTAAATTTAATTGATAATTTTTTGATGACCCCCTATCTGCAATTAAAGTAGGTACCTACATTTATCTATAAAGCACCCTGTATAATAATAAAAAGTAATATAAAATACATACATAATATATGAAATATGTCGAACTTCCTAGCGAAGATACTACAGCAAAACATGTACTCAAGGTACAAAGTCTTTGTGATTTATAATATTTATCGACAAACCTACAATTTTTTTTATTATTAATAATTGTTCTTTTGTATTTTCTAATTAGAAAATATTGTTAGGTAAATAAATCTTTATTTACCTGATAATGTAGATGTGCTGGTGTACCGTGATTTTTAGAATTTGGGATACGCGGTTTTGAAATGCTTCATCTTCTGAGAATTTATCGGAATTACACAAGTTCTTCATTAAATAAAATTTCATTAAGCGAAATTGTAATAATATGTGGGTCACAATGTATGTCAAAAATGCTAAAGTTAACGCAATATTATAAATAACTATAAGTGAATATATCGTTAACACGAGATATAAAATTTCACGACTTAAATATTTTTTCGCAATCGAGAAGATAAAATTTGCATCAAAATTTTCATTATTTATGATACGGACGGTGAACATATTGAAAGCAATAACCTGGACAACCAACATATTGTAAAAACAGAAACAAAGACACATGGTCCTTTTTACTTCTTCAATGACTCTTTTATTGAATTTGGAATTTTTCGTTGAGAGAGATCCAAAATTTTCAAAGATGTACTGGATATGGAAATCTCTGAACTGTATGATATACGTAGCGTTCACTATCAAGCTGACTAGATACTAAAAAATGATATTAAGAAAGTATTGACTTTAATATTTTGACAAGTTAGAGTATACTGCACTTTTTTATAATGCTATATACTGACTATCAAAAATTACAAACATTTTTCACCTGCGAAAACGTTTTCTTACCATGTTATATTTAAATTAATAATATACACATACTAACTAATAGTAATACGAGTTAATAAAATTGATTTAAAACTTACTGGTTGATTACTAAAGTATATAATTATATCTTCTATTTTAACACCCTCGTTTTTTACAATCCATAGATAAACATGATAAAGTGGTAAATCTAATTCCACTATAATTCCAATAGCAAATGCTATGATAGAAGCAAGCTTTGCATATTTCACAACTTGATTAAACAGAATTATTTGTAATATAAATCTTAAAGGATCTCCTAAGAAAATATTAACAATTAATAAATACTTTTTAATAACTATATGGTAGGTACTAAAATAATTACCTGTCCTACTCATAGGCTTAAATCCAACGTTTTTATTCGATGAGGAATTTAACATTGTTATCCAGAGTGATGAGCATTAAGTAATAAAATTATTATTCTTCCTTGGTATTATTTAAGTCTAGAATATATTAGGTATTTGCTAATGTATTTACTGACGATATTAAAATGCCTTAATATTTAATACAGTCGTATTTAATTTAATGGCATTTCATTATACTCGTACTATTTATTTTCTTCTTCGAGAAATATTAATAATATACTTTTTATTGTAGCCCACGAACAGTTCAATTGTTAAAACAACTGAATTATATTGATTACAAGTAAATATTTATGCATCTATCTATTTATTTTTGACATAATTTATGCATTTATTACGTCCTTTAATGTATAGCTTAATTATCAACTAAAAGTTAAATAAATGTAGGCAGGATCTTCTGCAGTGTCTCAATAGTGGCTATTATTAGGAATAACTATTAATTCCTATTATTTTGTTTCTAATTTTAACAATTTATACATACGTAAAAGTTTGTGATTATAATTTTAATAACGACTAAAAATATCAAAAATTAAGTACTAATGATCAATCATAAGAATACATTTACTTACCTAATAAAGAAAAACATAGTGGATAGTTATAGAGCAGGTGTTCCCTTTTACTTTTGTTTGCTGGTTAAACCTCGTGCAAATGCAAACATACTATAGCCAAACCTAAGAAGCTAAAAGCAACTAAAGTTAAATAAGAAATTTCATCGATTTATTTGATTTTATTTTGTTTTTCGTAAAAATATATGTATTATTAGATAGATATTAGACTTTGAGATCTTTTTTTTCTTAAGATATCTTTTTAGGATATAATTATGTATTTTTCTGTAAATTTCTTACTTACTGTTATCAAATAAACACGATTGAAAACTTGGCCGGTCACCGAGAGGTACATAGGCTTCTTTAATAAAACTAACATCAAATGGTATATTTGTCGATTTTTTTTATTCCAGTAAATCCATGGACATTCGCAAAGTGCCATGTAGAAATCATCGCACTATAAAAAAGTTTATTCAAAATGTATTCGGACTATAAGAAACAAAAAGTATGCTTTTGTAAATACAGGGTGGCCCAGAACTCAAGCCACACCGGAAAATGCCTTATGGAAACAACAATGGAGATCCCAAAACTGCAGCCGAAAACATGAAAAAGTTATTCCTTTGGCAAATAAAGAGGTTTAAAATTGACCAACAGTAGCAGTTCACAAACGTGACGTGAATTAGCTATACACCAATTTGACATTATTGAGAGATTCTATATTCTATGTCCTTTTCACTTTCAAGGTTAACAAAAGCTTCCAAAATCCGCTGCGACTATTGATCAATGATTTGCTTCTAAATCAATCATTCAGGAGCTCCGTCATGCTGATACCAAACCTACAGAATTTTTGATTGCTTCAAAAGTGGTTCGAATCGAATGATCCATTTTTTGATCAATTTAAAAGAAAATCTTTGATCAATAGTCGCAGCTGATTTTGGCAGCTTTTGTTAATCTTGAAAATGAAAAGGACATAGAATCTTTCAATAATGTCAAATTGGTGTATAGCTTATTCACATCATTTTTGCGTATGTGAACTCCTACTTGAATTGGTCGATTTTAAACCTCTTTATTTACCAAAGGAATAACTGTTTTATGTTTTTGGCTGCAGTTTTGACATCTCCATTGTCGTTTTTTGGGGGCGACCAATTTGGGGGCACATATTATTATAATTTTTATTTTGAGTTTCTACTTCTTTGTGCTTTTTAAATCATCAAAATAAACACTATTTTTAATCTTCTAAAAATATTACGTAAATATTTGCCACAATGACAAGCAGCCTTAAATTAATTCATATTGGGACTTACATCATTTATTAATAGTTGACTGTAGTTTAGGAAAATCAGAGCAAAAATAACAGATGTTCCCATATAAATGATCATTGAAATATTGATATCCGGATGAATTTTCTAAAAAATAATGTTTGCTTCTCAGTAATTTCTAATACATGGACACTTAAATAACAAACTTACAGCATAAATAAAATAAGATGAACTTCCTATCGCAATTATTACAGAAGTACTTGATAAAACCATTGCTATTTTATGCTTGTTTATAAAATTTTCAAGGTGCCTAAAAATGAACTTTAATATTGTAAATATTCGTTGCAGCTACAACAAAATTAGGTTAATAGTAAGGTACAATCAATAATTACCTGAAAATATTGAAATGTTGTGTTATTGTAAATTTTAAAATTTCGTATACATCATTTTGCAATGCTTCATCGTCTGAATAATCATTAAAATTATTCAAGTTGTTAACTAGATACAATCTGATTAACTGAAGTTGAAGCCTCATATGTGTTACATTATACAACCAAAATATTGTAATCAATACTGAACTATAGTTAAGTAAAATGGTGAAAATAAGATATGAGGGATATATAATTATATTGCCTAAATATTGGGATAATATAACCATAATGTAAATGCAGTTAATGTTTCTAATTAAATTGAATATTATAAAACTATATGCAGAAGTACTATTAATAAGCGCAATAGCGCAAATTAAGAAACTGCAGTACTTGGCATATTTAATTTTTCTACTGGCGCATTTATTAAATGTTAAATTTTTCGTTGATGGATATCCGTAATATTTCAAGACATATTTAGTAACTTCTAAGACCTTTTGACTGTATAATGCGACAACTAACATGTTGAAAATATACTGAAAAAATACAATACAATTACAATTATTACATACATAGGTATAATATTTTTAAACCAGGTTATTAATTTCTAATGATATAATTTTTTACTTACAGGTTGCACAAGAATAAATATCATTAAATACTCTTTTGTAAATTTGCCATGTTTTACAATCAAGACATCGTATAGGCACAGAAATAAATTTACCTCCAAAAAAAATACAACTCCAAATGTTACAAAATAAACAAGTTTCGGGTATTTTAAAATGTGCCTGCCAAAGAACATTCGTTGCATAAAATTTAAAGGATCCCCTAAAAATAATAATGTATGGAAGTATTAATGATTACTGTAATTGAACTTTAATTGCACAAAAAACAATTAAATAGGTTATTATTTACCTGTCATACTCAATGGTATAATTTCGACCTTTTTATTCAAAGAAAAATTATTCATAGCGATCCAAACTGATCAGCATTCGTTATGAAATTACCAAAGAATATCTACTTATAGATTGCTTTATTTACTCATATTTAGTATAATGTCGATAATATAATTCCTTAACGGTAATATACATAGGTAGGTACTTGCATTTTAATAGATTCATTTTTAATATAATGGAAATACTTAAATTAGAACCTTATATTTTTTTGCATTTATGATAGTTATGTAAGAAGTATATTGAAAATGTTAGTTGAAATTTTTGAATATTGTTTTTATAAATACTCTTCTTTAATGAGTAATTAATCTAATGCAAAAGATAAGTATTTGATAGTCATAGGAAAACTATTTTACAGGGAATTCTATTTCTTCTATTTCAAGTTTCTATTTATATGAATCATCGCTACACGGAACTATCGTTAAGCATTCAAGACTCAAGATATTAAGTACCTCTGTGAAATACCTGTTTTGTAAATTAAGCTTGTAGATAATAATAGTTTCTACGGTAAGTATATAATATAATATACTTGGAACTTACATCCATTACTCGTAGGCGCACGATCACCAAGTCATGGATATGATTTTAATGAAAACAAAAACAGTTTTTAATAATTAAAACCTGGTGGGGTCCAATAAAGTTTCAGTTAAGTGCGTGCTTCTGTTGTGAAATAGTGATTCTTAAACCATGACTTTTGAACGGCAAACCATAATCTCAGGTAAGTTTTTGAATATAATTGTATAAAATATTAGGTTGATGAATTCAAAAAAATAACTAATTAAAAAAAACCTTAAGTTCATTATAAAGATATTTAGAATTGTTTGAATATCCCACACTCTTGTCTAAATGTCTTTTTAATTAACCCATGTATATATTTTTTATGACCAAGAGTAATTAAAAAGCTTGTTCTTTTCGGTAAGATTTTTTTGCCACACTTTATTGGTCATAATTTATTTTTCAACATTCTATTTATTTGATTGACAGACGATTTACGATCATCATTTGAATTACAAGTCATTAAAAATATTAAGTATTTTTAAACGATTTAATATTATTTTTATGAAAAATTGCTTTTTGCTGTTACTACAGGAAATCCCATAATAGATAAGTAGGTACATAAAAAATAAATCGACTTTGTAATTTTCTTAATAAAACCAGTAATAACATTTTATTATTTCCAAAAAAAATCTGTTTTTATAGTACACTTAACTAATTATTTCAGTTTTCCTTATTCTATCTGGACTGAAAGGAATATTCTCAGCAAATTACGATAAAGAAAATTATTCCTGGAAACATCGAATGGAATACAAAGGGCTACGCAGACTAAACGGAGAAAGCAATTTTTGGTACCCCGGTCGAATTACAGACGAATACAGAGACTATTCTGCTTCAAATCCCTTTTCACATGGTGTAACCAGTAAACAATTACCTAAAGAGTATCATCCTAAACCGCTGAAATCAGATTTTTCCGATTACCATAATGAAAACTCGTTTAAACATGAGCTATTTAGAAACCAAGACAGAAGACGTCCTGTAAATCCCATGGAAAGAAACCATCACTTTCATTCGAATAATTTCGACAACAGGAAAGGATTGATTGATTACAGAGATCCATTTGATAGTAAGTAAGTATTCACATTGTGTACCTACCACAAAAATCCTACATTTTTGTAGATTTCAATCAACAACAACCAGTAGGAAATTTGGACCGTCCAGGACGACCCTTCGGATTCGATGAAGGAATATACGACAATTTCAATCCTCGGGAATTTATGCTGGGAGGCGCCACCGCACGTCCTCCTGCTGTAGGAGGTGTTCCTGGAACCGGAACCACCGTCTCTCCCTGCGAGCAATCCTGCCAGACCACCATGCAATTCGATCCTGTTTGCGGTGATAATGATTTCACTTATCAAAATTTGGCAAGGTTCAAGTGTGCGGTAGCTTGTGGAAAAAGTAAGTTTATTCAATGCAGAGTTTATATGAATTCGGGGATCGAAAGATTTTATTGAACTTTAACGGGATTATAAGGAGCTGTTGGGTTGAATTATTGTTTGGTTAAAATTGTATTTCTTCCGAGTTTTCAAGTTAATTTTCACTCGAATTAGAAGTGTTTCTTTATTCACTTTTGATGTTATTGGAGGATTGATGAATAATTTATTGTTTGTTAATTTTTCAGGGGTGAAGATTCGACGCATGGGCGCTTGTTCGGTTCCGCAGTGATTTTGGAATTAGACTGATTTTATTTTTTGTGTTGTGTAACAATTCCAAACGTGGTACAATTTGGTATAATAATTTAACTTTAACTTAATAATTTATAATAATCAATAATGTAGAAATGGATGCTCAAGCGCTATCTGTTGCTTTGCGTTAGAAATATACTTCGAAATTTTATGTATTGATCTGTTCTTAGAATTGATTGGATGTAATATTTCAACAAAGCTTCTAACAGATGGAGCTGTTTCAATGGATTTGTGGAATTCTTTCTTCAATTCTTCACAAATCTGATCGGTTATTTTAGTAAACTTGAATGGCTTGTTTCCAAAATGTGCCAAATCCATCATTTAAAAATTCTATAAATTTACTTTTCTAATGGTTTTATAGCATCTCTTTCATTTGTCACCATATAATACATTTTATAACTTGTGTATTTTCGTTATCTAAAGAAATATTATATTTATAAAATGAAGATTTTTAATCAAATAGAAAGAAGAAATCTTTATCAAGAGAAACCGATTTTTTAGGAACTAGTACTTTTTGGAAACAATCTATTAATTATTTTTAAACAAAGAAGCTGAAACACATATACCGGGCGATTCATTAATCATTATGGCTGGCGACTAGCAGATAGTCTGTTTATGGCGAATATCGATATCTCATTTATCTTTTGAGTGAGGCATTTTACCTCTAAAACCCCCAAAGGAATCTCCCGGTAAAAAAACTACATACAGTTATGTTTTGTATTCAATAATTAACTTGAATCTTGCTAATTAAAGATTTTCATCCGATAATAATTAATAGTTTTACTAATTTAGGTAGGTAGATGGGTGCATCAAATTATCGTTATAATAATGCAAAAAATACGAAGAATAACTCGGCTGGTACGCTAATATAAAAACGATTGACCGTTTACATTTTGAAAAACGACCCCTTCATTAAAATAAATTTAGTATAACATTATAATACAATCATTCTTATCTTTATAACGGTACCTTCCTCAAGGCTAATATAACAAATATAACAAGCGAAATGAAACTACAAATTTTTCGGGCAGGACGAAGGACCGTTTTAATTGTGATTTAAGGCCTAGGTAACACTTTTTAACAAACTTTAAATCATGTTCTTGCAGACACGAGGGTTCCTCCAGGACCACCCTACTCGTTTGACCGCGAAGCAGGTACGCAGTTGTTATTACCCTTGACCCTTGCATAACACTTACCACACTTCGTTTGATTTCCTATTTTTACTTTCGAATTTTTCGAATCGGTTTTTTATTTGCTACTTCCTACTGGCCTCGTGTCGGTGGGAATTTTCGAACTCGTCGTGTTTCCACATAGCGCGCCGTCCATCCTTAAAGTCCTTTACAAGGATTCCTAATCGTTTGCATTCGAAATTCAATCATAAATCGATCTAATTTTCCAATAACTCATTAAAACCGCTCGTTTAGCTGGCCTAATGATTTATTTTACGTTTTTTTTAGAATAAATTTATTCGGTCTTCTTTAAATATAACTCTGACTCGGTATAGACAACAAAGAAAACAATATTTATTTCGTTTAACATGCAACGTTGGAGTAAAAAAAATGTATATTTACGATCAGAGCGGACCGAGACAAAGCAACGGTTTTTAGCATTTCCAGGAAAAGAATTTAATACACCAATCACCAACCTTGGTGGGAAACCGGCGAATATTCAAAGCCAATGTCAAATTTTGTCAAAACCAAAAAGCTATAAATTATAACATAGATTCGTACGCATACAAAGTCTACATATGCTTTGGACCAAAAAATTGTTCTTTGAAATTAACATGCTAATCAATGTTAATGCTAAATGGTAACAAAGGAAAATACACCAAATTGTAGTACATAGTTTTTAAGACGTGGAAACAATTACATCCATGTTATCTCAATTTCTGTTTCGGCGTTTCTGGAAAACAAACCCCCCATTTCCGTCGAAACGTTATTATAATCATGCTCGATTATCTGATTCGAATACTACACTTATGAAACTAAGCTTAAACAAAACATTATTTCTCCAAACACTATTACTGGGCAAGCAATAATATCATTTGCTTTGTATTTTGTGTCTTAGAAACAGCCGTTAGCGCGGAATTCTCTTTGAACTTCGCTGCCGTAATTGGGAGAAGCTTCGATATGCACGTTCTTTGTTGAAAATTACTATTAAACTGTTATGACCATATTCCAACTTGCGCAATCTAAAGGAGTATCATGGTTTCCAAGACGAACGTATTGAAAGCCGGATTAAATACATAAACTTTTTTCATCCAATTCATCTACCCAAAGAGAGCTTTTTATCGTCCCAAGAGAGTCAAATATTAATATTAGTCAAAAGTTACAATTAACATTGTTCTCGACATTAAAGGAAAAAACTATTCACCTAGTTAATGGCTGTAAATATTTAAAACTCGTAATTTACCAAACGAATTAAAAGTTCGTAAAGTAAGCTTTACAAAAGCCAAGACGTTTCAACTGCAATAATAAATTTTAACGAATTTCTTGAACTAGTTAACAAACAATATGTTACGTAATTTGCATGTACAGTTACAATCCTTTTTGTCCGTTTTCTTTAATTTCTATACCTGGCTTTTACCTCTCAATCGGAAATGTCCACTCACTTGATATAGGTCACATTAAGGATAAACGTCCCTAAGGTCTTAGATTCAATTACGATTTTTTCAAGCGTAGGGGACACTCTTGAAAGTGTAATACTCTTGTAACGCTTATTCATTTACCTGCCTTCGTTCACATTGCCGAATTAATTTAAATATAAATGCGTGTTATTGATACTTTTGCTACATTACACTCATTTGCAGGTAAAAATTTATCTTTATTGTTAGTAGCTGTATGTATTTTAACGTTATTTATTGCAACAATTCGGTGTTTCACATTGAAATATAAGAGTAATATTTAAAAAAGTCACATATTAAGAAGAGATAAAATAACATTAAAAGAGAGAAATTTTGCAAAAAGTATGGATACTGTAATATATCGATAAGGTGAGGAGGTAAAATAATGAATAAACTATGTGTGTATATTGAATGAAATGTGTACAATAAATTTCAATGTAGGTAATATTCAAATACTTTACGTATGTAGGTACTTAATTTATTAAATCTTTTTTTGCGTTAATAAATATTTGCAAAATTCTGTAGGTAATTAATTATTTTTATTTGCATCGGCCGGAATTATCGATTGAGGGGCGACTTCGCCATAAATCTGGGCCCTCCGTCGTGTTTTTACAAAAGCTCTCTTATTCGGCCATTCGTCGGGCAAAAAAAAGAAAAGTAAATAATATGCGGAACATGACACGCCATAAAAAGTACTTTATGACGGTGTATTTCTTGACCAACAACGCATTAATCAAAAAAGGTCATAGCGAACTGACACTTTCCTGACGAGCGACTCGAGTCCTGCGCCCCGGCGCTGCCCAGAATCGTCCTTTCTATTTTGCTTCGAAGGGTTGCCAACGATGACGCAATAAAAATATGTTTTTAAGTGGTGCGTTCCGGGAGTAAATTGTTTTTAGCCGGTGTTATTGTCGAAATTTTATAGTCACACTTCGGGCACAGCCTGGCCGAATATTAAAAATTTATTTATTGTATAGATAAACAATAAATTTAGTTCGTAAAAAATTGTAAGAGTAACATCCAAATATTTTTATCATGTTCCAAAATAATTATTATTTATTCTCAATGAAACGATTTGGTTCAATTTCGAGAAGGCGGCAAATTACAAAAAAACTGCGGTTATTAAAGATTCAATTAATTTTTATTATACGTATAAATTTAAATTGAGTTATTTCAAAAAAAACTTTTCATTTTACCGACGTCTCATAAACAATTTAAAAACTAGTCACTGCTAATTAGATTCACTACAAAAAAAGCCGAATAGCGCGTGCAAATTGTTAAAAATAACAGGTTACGATATAATGTATAAGTTGAGTAATCCCTTCTATAAAAGGTTTGTAAGTCTCGTGTGGAGTTCATAGGTCAAATGACCACTGGCCACTGGTCACCGACTGACACTGGCCACCCTTTTTCTCTCTGCGTTCTCTTCCGTTCCCTGCACGGCCTGTCGTCACCTCTTGCTACTTTTCATTTATCAAAATCTAGTTCTGATTTATATAAACAGTTTCCCTGTGGATAAAATTGGTTTATGTTTTGTTCGGATTGTGTTTCAATTCGTTTCTCCGGGTTTCCTTTTCCTTGACATTCCAGATTAAGTGGATATATCTATTTAGTTCGATGTTGTAATCATTGCCAACTAGCCATTGTTGGAAGCTCCACACATGTAGTATTTAAATTAATATTGTTATACTCAATGTTAAGATATCTAGAGCTGGAGATGCAACCAGCGTGATCGTCGTATAGAATTATTTCTATCGATCTGTAGCATATACATACTTTCAATTCAAATTTAGTAACCCTTTTATAAATAAATTACTTAATTCGGTACATGCGATTAAAATTAAATAACCAAATTATAAGGGTGTAGAATTCACCTGATATATCATCCGCCCTATTTTACAGAAAAAAATCCATTTATACCTACGGGTTTTTTTCGACGGAAAGATCGCTTTTAACAGGTTGGAACTGGTAATTACTGTAATTCGATATTTTCGTACAATAACTTTTTTGATTGTAGACTGTTCATTTCCAACTTCCTTCCGTCGTACCCATTTATCTCCGGACGAAGAGGAATAGGGGTGTCGTTCCGGGCGAGGAAAAGTACCAGTCGAAACATAAAGCAAGTGAATACTTCGGAGCGTCATTACTACAGGTTAGAAAAAAAAAGAGGGTGAGATTTAGGTCGGTTGGGGATGCAAGTTGCTCAATGTTATTTCCCTTATATCTAGGTAAGCGACAATGGACTGGAGATGATGATAAATGGCTTGGGATTAGGCATGTGATGGGGATTGCCATGAGAAAATTTTTACAGTTCTTGCGCGCTCTCTTCGGCATTACGTTACGCCTGATTTTCTATAAAATTTTGAATTAACTTTAGTGTAATTGAATCGAAACGGGTCTATTCTGACTTCATGCTAATAGATTTATTACTACAAAATTAAGAAAGTTGAAAAATCCTTTGAATACCTCAACTAAATAGTGTGGGCCTAACATCATTCAGAAATCATTTAAAATCCTTTAAATGAAAAAAGACTATCATGAAAAAGACTTCAAAAAACAAGGGAATATACTACAAAAAAAATGAAAAATCGCCTTTCATGTCCTAAATGTTAGATAAAATGTATAAAAAAAGTTGTGTATTTACAGGATTTTATATATTTATTATACACATTGAGACTTGATATACATAAGTACATATTGAGATGCAATGGCTATTTTAGACCTTTACAAAAATGTTCTCATCAAAACAGAAGTGAAATTTAACTGACTCTTCCGTTTGTTACCCTTCCGCAACCCTTAGAATAGATTTCTATCGCAGCAAACTACCTTTTACCTTAAATAAAGGAATTTATTCAAACATTGTCCGTCCTTTTTGTAGTAAAAATGGTCAATCGGAAGTACCTATACAGGAATAATTTGATTAGGGAACCCCTTGCAAGGTAAGCGTATGTAAGGACGCAACGGAACGGGACCAGGAAGGGCTAGAAAATTAGCAATTGTTATGCTTCGGCTGGACTCTAACCCTTGATAAGGACTTTCTTTAATTTTTATTTTTACTATTGTGACCGTTCTTATAACTAGATACTGTAGTGGACAATCTTCCCATGACCATCTACAAAAAAAATATACTCTTTTCGACTGC